CCAACAATACTACAACTCCAACTCGAAAACAAAAGCCAAAAAAAAACTATAGTAGTACCAAATGTTGCTCAGCCACAGCATTCACTTTCACATTTACCTTCAATTTCACATTCACAGTAACAAACACTGGAATATCCCCCAAATCCATACGCACAACAACATTAATAGCGAATAATTGGGCCTGATCCTGTTCCTGAGCATGTGCTTGTGCTTGACCTGATTGCCGTGCAGCTGGCATTGCGATTTCGGAGCGGAATTAATTCGTGTTTGGCGGGCTGATGGGCTGGTGGGTGTTTGTTAATTAGTTTTTTGCATTTTTGGATTTCGGGTGAGATGATAGAAAGGAGGAAAGAATGGATGAATGAATGAATCGGGAAGGATGTGAATGAATTTACTCTGATGATATTTGAGATCGTAGAGAGCGGTTGGCTGGGTGATTGGTTGTTGGTTGGTTATGTAGGTATATGGTCGCTGTTCACGGTAGTGCTTTGAGCTTGGAAGTATGTTATCGTTTACTCGAGTAAGTTAAATATGAATGTGAATATGAATATGACGGTGCGTATAGCTGTAAGGAAAAGTTTTGTTGCTGGAGGAAAAAAAGGAGAAAGCGGAAGGGAAGAGGAGGAGGAGAGTTACTTACATATAGATGTTTACAATTCTAGCGAGGATCACTAGGTGAAAACGGGAACAAGAGTATCGTTGTTGCTCTATTGAGGTCCGATGGCTAAGCGAGCGTTAAAGGTATTCGTTGGGTTGGGACAGTTGTCTAGTGAAAAGAATCGACAATATGAATTCACCGAATAACCTGCTCTGATAGATCCGCAAAAGCTTTATAATTATTATTCTTACAACTCAACTTAGATCAATAATATAATCAGTTCATAGCGAAAGAAAGCAACAAAAAAGTTTAATTTCAAAAGTCAATCGATCATACTCGAGTGATACAAATTCACGTTTTCTCTTTCGCTTGCGAAGCAATTCCCAATCACTAATGCTCTAATACCTACTCGAGTGAATACTCAAACTATAAAATAGAACCTCGAAATCAAAATATCAATATGTGGAGTAGTATACTCGAGTACGAATAATCGCGGAAGATGTCAAGAGCCGAGCTCTCACTCCTCAAATAGACTCCTCAAATGGAGATATAGGCAAGAGAGGAGTACCGTGAGCCATTCATGGTTGGGTGAAAGTCATTTTTGCCGTGGCGGTCTAGGTTGGGTATAAGAAAAATACTTCAGCTAAATTAGATTATTATGAGAGGAGTGGTATAGCATAGGCAGCATGAGAGCGAGATAACACATGGTTGGTGTATATCATATCTTGACTATAAGATTTCGAAGCATAGATAATAGATATAGATGCGATACTAAAATACCGTTGACTCCTAACTTTAGGAGATAATCTTACACTAAGTTCACATAGATATATTAAAATTAGGATCACAAAAAAGCATTGGTACATTTATATTTTAGAAATTAGGTTTAAAAGAAAATGGGTTTTATATATTATGAAATGACTGACTGACTGACTTAGCCATTAAGTATTGAAGAAAGTATTTTTTGGGGCTTTTCTGGGGTATTAGATGTTCAAACAGATGACTTACCTACCTCTCTCATCTCACACTCTCTCACTTTCTCTCACTCGAGAAAAAGGATTCCAGGAAAGAACATGATTCGGCTGCTCGTCCAAATACCAAGCATGGGAACGAAACGAGGCGACTCACTTGAGTCCCCATCAGAGGCATGCTCTGTCATTTCGATGTCTTCGATGTCTTCGAAACGAGGCGACTCACTTGAGTCTCCATTAGAGACATGCTCTGTCATTTCGACGTCTTCGATATCTTCGACATCGAAGATGATTTCCATCATCTCAACCTGGTTTTCTACACCCGTGTCTTTGACTTTCATACCGCTGAGAATATCGGTGATTTCATCGACTTCTGCGGATGCTGGATCTTGCATGGTTGCTTCTCTGGAGATACTCATTTTGATGTATATATATAGAAAAGATTTGGAGGTGGGGAGTTGATGAGGAGAAAAGAGAAGGTGAGAGGGAGGGTCTGAGATGTATTTTTATACTTGAGACTTGTCGATTAGTTCTACATGGCTTTGTTGTGAAGGAACAAGGCATTGATCCTTAACAAGGACACTGTCCTTGTTATACCTATAGGGAACCTTTGATCGCCTGACAATTGTTCTATTTTTGTCTTTGTCAAATCTGCAATCAACAGTGTCGAGCGAACAACAGAGAAAACGAAAGGTGTCAGGCTTAGTCAGTCCCGAGCTGTGTTCATTGACCTTCAGTAGTGTTCACTTGGGTAGGATAAACAATGTAATGGGAAAAGAAATTTTATCGGGCCAGATGGAAGGTTCTGAATGAGGTCAATAGGAAACAACTGAGTATCCAAAGCTAGTTCTATTGTTGCATGGCTTCGAGTGATACATCCCCAAATTTATTAAGCCTCCTTTGCAAAAGAAGGCAATGATTCCATAATCGTAGCCACAGCCCAATTGAGAGTCGTTGTCATATCAATATCAAGACCTCCTTCCTGACATTTGAGATTTAGACCACTAACAACATCATCTTTTAATCGGCCCTCAACATCACCTTCTTCGAACATCCACTTGTGATCCTCGACATAATTTGGCCAAACAATCTTGTCAACGTACCCTGGTGGATCCTCCCAAAATCCCTCAAGAGTCACATACCCACTACGAGCTTCCCTCCGAGATTTTGCCTTTGCATAACTAACCCGAAGGAAAAACTTAATATCAATCTGGCCTTGAACAGGGGCCAAAGATTTAGAATAGAGGAGAAATCCATCAAAGATGCAAAGACGAATGGGAGATTCCGTGTCTGATAGAATTCCATGACCCGGCTGCCCAGGCTGAGTCCAAGTTTTAACATGGGATTTTAATGCTTCAATTTCTGTATCAGTGACTGGGCAACTTCCAAGGGAGTTTTGGTCTTCTTTAGAATCGAGATTAGGCTATGAAGAGTCAGTATTTTTCTGCAAAAGTTTTTATTACTAAATTGGAATGCGTATAAAGAGGTATGACCGACAGGAAAAGTGCCATATTTGCGTATGTGCTCAAGAGATTTGACCATTCCTGGTATATCCAAAGCTTCTGTGCAGTCCCAATCTACCAGATCATGCTTTTTAGGGAGTCTAGTTATTATCTATCAGTTGAAGATACACCAATGAGACACGAAGAGTGACAAAATAATCAACTAAAGAGAGAATGCAGCAGAAACAGAATAACAAAATTCAACTCACTCTTCTTCAGGTCGATAAAAATCATCTTCGTGAAGAACGAATGTGTTTGGAAAGATATCACGCAGGAGTCGACTCAGTGTTGTCTTACCACTGGACGAGGATCCACTGATTCCGAGTACAATTGCTTTCCGAGAATCTACCATGGTGAGCAAGGAATAAGACTCATGTCAAAAATTAGACTTCCAACTTGTTCTTATGATCTATCCTGAGGATGTTTCTCACAACTGAAGGGAAGGAGGCCAAGAAAGTTGAAGATTAGGTAAGCACAATCTTGACGCTGAGACCAAGTGCTGGATAACGAATCTTCCCGATACCACATCATATTTTAGTGGATCAATTGACTGTACATGCTGGTGACTGTACACTGTACAGATGTTGCACGAGAATGAGAAACGTTGAGATGTAGGTAGTTAGGTAGTTAGGTATTCAACGGTGAATTCACTAGGCGTAATATTACTTTACCCAAACATGGAGTTGAATGCAATATAAATTTTACATTAATGCTACCTTTACCTTCCCTAAGACTCGAGTATCTCTTCAAAATTCATTCTCATTCGTTGTTATTCTTCTACCGGGAAAACCCGAACTTGAAGCCGGTCAATTAAATCCCCAGACAGACACACACACGCCAATCGGAAGCTAGTGGGTAGATTCTGGGGCAGCTGGGCCATTCAATACGAAATATTTGCTTGGCCTCGCCTGTTTCTCCAAGTTGTCAGTTTTATTTATTTAAATTGTTGTTTTCTTGTTTAACCAAACATCTTTGATTTTTTCCCTCGACCACCTTCATTATGCTTTCTCCCTTCAGATTAGCCAGCAGGCAAGCAATTACCCGCGGTGTTGCTTCTAGAAGTAGCATTGCCATCAGACATGCTTCCACATGGGCTGATGTCCCACAGGGACCTCCAGTATGTATTCTTAAAGTCAATGGACTAACGTTAGAGACTCTTAGGCTAATGCGCTACAGGATGTAAGTCATTGACTCTTCCGATTCGATAGAGAGATGGGTTTCTAATGGTGTAATTGTTTGTGGACAGGCCATCTTAGGTATGAGTCAAGAATGGGATCAATTATCTGACTTTAAAATCTAACAAGAGAAACCAGGTATCACCGAGGCCTTCAAGGTAGATTCCTTCAAGGAGAAGATCAATTTGGGTTTGACATACCGAATCGTTCTCAATGTAATGTCATTAACTCTGCTCTTTAGGTGTCGGCGCATACAGAGATGATGCAGGCAAACCTTACGTCCTTCCCTCCGTTCGAACCGCAGAAGACAAGGTCGTTCAAGCAAAGCTCAACAAAGAATATGCTGGTATCACTGGTGTTCCCGAATTCACCAAGGCAGCTGCTGTCCTTGCTTACGGTGAAGGCTCAAGTGCTCTCGATCGTCTAGTCATCACACAATCCATCTCTGGAACTGGAGCTCTCCGAATTGGTGGTGCTTTCCTTCAACGATTCTTTCCTGGCGCAAAGAAAATCTATATCCCAAACCCATCGTGGGCAAACCACGCCGCCGTCTTCAAGGATTCGGGTCTCGAGGTTGAGAAATACAGATATTACAACAAGGACACAATTGGTCTTGATTTCGAGGGAATGGTTGCAGACATTAAGGCTGCACCAAAGGGAAGCGCTTTCTTGCTCCACGCATGTGCACACAACCCTACCGGTGTAGACCCAACTGTCGAGCAATGGAAGGAGATTAGCAAGGCTGTCAAGTCTGGTGGACACTATGCATTCTTCGACATGGCCTACCAAGGATTTGCCTCCGGTGATACCGACAAGGACGCTTTCCCAATCCGTCACTTCATCGAGCAAGGCCACAACCCATGTCTCGCCCAATCTTTTGCCAAGAACATGGGATTGTATGGTGAGCGTGTCGGAGCATTCTCCATTGTCTGTGCCGATGCTGCCGAGAAGAAACGTGTTGATTCGCAAATCAAGATCATCGTTCGTCCTCTCTACTCCAACCCGCCCGTCCACGGTGCCCGTATCGCATCTACAATTCTCAACGACAAGGCTTTGAACAAGCAATGGCTCGGTGAAGTCAAGGGAATGGCTGATCGTATCATTACCATGAGAGCTTTGTTGAAGAAGGAACTCGAGACCTTGGGTTCAAAGCACGATTGGTCCCACATTACTAGCCAAATTGGCATGTTCGCATACACTGGTTTGACCTCGGGACAAATGGATGAGTTGGCCACGAAGGTAAGATTTTTTTCCAGGTCATTGAGATCGAAGTCGTCCTTGCTAATCATGATTTTAGCACTCTGTATATGCTACCAAGGATGGTAGAATCTCGGTCGCAGGTATCACTTCAGCAAATGTCAAGAGATTGGCTGCTGCTATTCATGCTGTTAAGCCATAAATGGATTGTATATCATTGCAAAAGTTCGACCTAGAATTAGGTGGTTCGCAAGATCTTTCTTGACTTATACTTAGAACTGCGTAGAGCTGTCTTGAATAAAGTAGATAGATGCGACACACTCCATCACAGAAAGATAATATCTTCCCTCTAAAAGTACGAGCTGCTTCTCTTGCTTTTGTCCCCATGTACTCCCATTTCACTCACATGTTTACATGTTCCAAATATTCTCGTCTGATCTAAATCAAAATATTCCGTTCCTTCTGGCTCTGCAAACACAGCAAAGACTCTCGTCCCATCTGTCCAAGTCATAAGTATACTCCATTTGCCCGCCTGAACATCAAAGTCATAAAATCGTAACCCATCCCTCTCTTTCTTTCCATGTATATTCATTCAACTTTCCATCAACCTTTCCACATCCCTCCTCACCTCCCCCACCTCCTGTTTCAACTCTCCAAACACCCTCGCAATCTCCCTCATCTGCCTCTCCTTCCGATCATCTTCCCTGCCCACCCCATACCCCCATAAATCTCTCTCCTTCAACTTCACCCTCTCCTTTAACCTCTCTCTCCCCCCACGCAATTCCCTCATGTAATTCTGTAGCGCATCCATTGCTCGTTCGTCGTAGATGATTTTCTCGCCTTGTAGGTATTTAAGTTGGAGTTCGTGCAAGATGCTGCGGGATTGGAGGGAGAGGTGTGTGATTTTCGTGGTGGTGTGCCGGGTTAGGGGGCCGTGTTTGGAGCGCTCGAGGAGTTGGATTATGAGGGTGGTGGCGTGGTGGTAGGATTTGAGGAGTTGGGTGGTGGTGTTTATTATGGTGATGCGGGAGAGAGAGAGGGTGTGGGATTGGCTGAGCAGCGAGGTTTGTAGGGAGTTGGTGGTGGAAAGTAGAGTGGGGATTTGGCGGTGCAGGAAGGAGGAGTTGGTGGTGGGGGATAGGATGCGCGAGAGGGAGAGTGCGGTGTTGTGGAGGTGCGTGCTAAGCAGCGTGCAGAGCTGGGGGAGGTGCGTGGGCAGAGAATGGTATGTAGGGGTGGATTCTAGGAGGGTGGTCTTTGTTTGGGATATGGAGCTTGATGGTAGTGAGAGTTTGGCGGTAAGTAGGATGATGAGTTGGACTAGCTCGTCTGGCAGCTCGACGGCTTTTCTGGAGGGCGCGGCTTGCGAGGTGCGGGTTCGTGGTTTGGCGGGGATGGGAGGGGGTGGTGAGAGATCGAGGGAGGATAGAGAGGATATTAAGATCTGCGATTTCGCGGCCTCTATTCTGGTGGTCTTTAATGCCTGCGAGTGTAATATTAGTAAACTGTAAAAGAGAGATGGAAGTCAAGGAGAACTACCGCAGAAACAGCATCCCGCTCTTTTTGCGCAGGATGATTTTTGGTAGAACCATTCGGATTAAGAATATCAGTCGCAAGTTTCTTATATAGATCTGCGAACCTAGGGTAGCTCTGCAAAACCGATTCCTCGACCGGAGGTAACATATCGCGGTATGTATTGTATTGGAGAAGTTGTGATGTTAGATCCAGAAGAAATTCTGCCAACACAACACCACCCTTCAAAAGTTTTTGTTGCACGTCTGAGGCCTTAAACCAACTTTTTCAGATTTGGGAAAAGTATAAATTTTATTGCAGATTTGGAATCGGGGGAGTTTCAGGATCTTGAAAAAAACTATCCCGGGGAGTTTCTAAGACTTGTGGTTGAATACGGAGAGGGGCGTTTTGGAGGGTTCTTTTGTTTACTTTGGGGTTTTTGTGCAAGGCTAATGTTGTTGTAGTGAATATAGTACCGTAACCTTGTGGTGTGCCGAGGCTAGTCAGAATCTGATCTGATTAGATAAGATCAGATTGTATCATTCAGTTACAACTACCAAGCTCTTGTCTTCTATCAACATCACTTAATTGGAACGCATCACAAACTCCCATAATGACATACCAGCTCAATAATTGATCACAGATTGCGACTTGGTTCCGACATTCCAGCATTATGCTACCTATGCTCAAGCATCTAAAAAGCACAGGTCAACGCCTTGGATCACGAGAAGCTGATTTGGTTATTTCATCATGTTCTCGTTCAAAATCAAGAATTGCTTGCAAGCCTCATGTTGTCAATTCCTCTCCACGATTATTGGAATACCCGACTTTTGGAATTTCTTCCTCTCTCTTATCGACACAATTCAACTCTTCAACATCAGTATCTACTCGAAACCGCAAATATATCTAAATCAAGTACAACCGCGACTTTGCTGATATAAGCATAAAACAATTGGATGCTTACGAGATGCGTGCTGTTTGACAACCGAATAAGCGTTTGGTTTTCTAAGAATTTAGATGTGTCGCATGATCATAACCGCATCTTTGCATTCATCAGTTGAGGTATTGCGATTGGGAGATGTTCTCATGGGCCATCTTCTGTTGTACTCCGTGTGTTTTCTTTGCCATTTATTAGTTGTGCGCTGGTTACTTCGCAAACCTGTGATCTTATATATTCTGAAACTGTTTGGTGCGCGGGAAGCTCGTTTGTGAGCGGCTGTTCCCTATCATACAGTAATTTGGCACCTATCCATGCTCTGCTTGCCTTCCTCTTCAGAGCTACTATGGCTTACAATCTGATATTAGATAAATACGCGAGATGCACGCATTTCAACCAGTTATTTACATACATATAGGTACTTACTGGCTTTCTATACTGACACTTTTCTTTGGAGCTTGTCTCTACCCTTTCTACTGCACAAGTGGGCTATTGACTGCTCCTCGCAGATATACTACTACCTTATAAACTAAACCTATACCTATAGTGCGCGCGGCTCATGAAGGCCCAGGGGACGCTGCCGTTCAGGAAGAAACTGAGCGAATATTTTATTCATTATTTACAAACATATAATGGATAGGATCACATTTCCAAATGTGAACCGCAGACACATTTGCCTCATCGAATGATCCGGGCCGTCGTGCTATGTGCCTGAGCCGCAATGCCTCTAACTCAAGTAACTCGTTGAAATACATGCACCGTCGAAGCTGGTCCCTAGATCATGGCACCAATTTTATGATGTGTCCAGCTGCATCAGATATAGGATTTGTTCTTGACTGAGAATTGGGCTTCTTCTTTGGATGAAACTTCAAAAACAATATACTCAGACACTCTCAGCCACATCGCGAATCCAAAAGAAACCCAGCACCCAATTTAGATAATGGGTTTCGCCGTACCACAGTGTGTATCAACAAAAACATACCATGTTTTGCCGATTTAAAAAAAAATTCTACGGAGCCACAGCTAGGGTGAGAACTATCGCAATGATCGAAGGGGACGGTGGTTATTACAAACACCAAATGAATTTTTACCTACATATAAAACGGCCATAACGTTTTGCTCTCTAGATTGTTGCTTATCTCAACGACAAATATACTTTTCCAGGGGTTGAACAGGAAGCTTGGGGGAATAACGTGCTAGATAGAGTCAGCCTCCTTCATATAAGCTCAAAAACTGTTTCTATACATTTAGGTCTATTGGTTTGCTCGTATATCCATCCTTAAATATACTAGGGCTGACAACCAAAACGATGTTGATATTGCTGGGATCATGGGTGATCATTTCCAGTTGATAGCTGTCTGTGCTGTACGAGTACGTGAATGTGGATCTCGTTAGCACAGCTTCAAGTTCAGCTATATTTATACTTTCTTACAGTAGAATTCTTCACCTTATCTGTTATTTGATCCTAACATTGGATTGTTTCTTTTGGCACTGTATCTTGTACATTTTCTGTTTTGTTCTTCATTCGATCGAAAATTACTACGAATAAAAAGTGTCTCGCTCTTACATCTCTCTGCCTCGCTGTACAGTCCTTTCTAGAGATAATGGATCACGATACTGAACCTCTCCAAGTGGTGTCATATGCGGAGATCAAGAGAGAATGTCTCCCTTCATCAGAACCGAAAGAAAAGCCATCTATGTTATTGTAAGCCATTAAAATTATCAATTGATAATCTCTAAAACTAACAAACGGACAGCCATTCCCCCAGTCATGACCCAACACTAGCACCTCCTCCTTTAAGCCCATATCCCAGGGAATCAGATACCTTCGATTCTTCCTCAATCACCCCAACATACCGTTCCACCCCATCATTTCCAGTCGACAGATTTGCAATTGCGACAAGGACCGACTCACTAGCATCTGGTTTCCCATTCCATCAACGACTCTTCGACTTCAGGGTCACACACGATGAATGGCATCTATTCACTGGCGAGATAGTGCAAGCTGCAAACTTGTCATTGCAAGAAGATTGGGCCGCCTGGACAGCAGGCATCTCAACCGGTGTCCTTAGCACTAGCATTCTGGTCTTCGGAGGCCCTGTTGCGGGGTACTATACGGGACGATCCGTACACCGGAAGAAAGTGATTGAGAAAGTCAAGGAAGGACTGATGCACCAAGGGAACATCAGAGCGACGCTTCACGAATGGAACGAGCAAACATTTCGAGACAAGGGGTTTCAAGCATGGCTGGAATTACCAGTTATGAAGGGAGAAATAAATGGTGAAGAAACTGACGAGAAGGAGAAGAGTAAGAAAAGTAAGAAGGACAAGAAAGAAAAGGCAAAGGAGCAAAGTCGGTTTAGGATTCTAATCATACCGACGTCTGCGCCCATGGGCAGATTGATGGGGAATGATCCGTCGAGTTGGAATTTAGCTGACAACCCATCGAGTCAACGGGCGGGGATTGCGGAAGCTCCTGATTCACAACCACGAATGGCAGAGATGGCATAATGGGTGAATTGTATGAGGTACTTTACCCATTCGGACTTAGAGAGCGCCTTTGCCCAAAGAGGGGAAGCAAATAGTTGTTGATGGCAGTGGTAAATTTCTTCGTCATTCACCGTCGTTGCGGTACAATAATTCGCATCTTCGAATAAGGTTGTGGACTCACGCCGTATTCACCTCATCAACCGCTTGCTCCTTCCACACGACCAGCCTCTTCTTTCTTTGAGAGTTAATTCACCACGGCAAACATTTATTTATATAGATTCATCATGGTTTCTCATTCGAACAAATTTTCTCTCCAGTACAACGGTTTCAAACTCTTCGACTTTGGCAACACGACGTTACTTTATACTCAGCTCGATATATCTGGAAAACTAGCTACCGACTATCTACCAACTACAACGAATCGACAACGCATCGACAACATGGCAACCGCCAATAACACTCTCTACCCGAAGATTTCTGGCAAACCGAAGAACCTGCTTGTGGAATTTTCAAAATATCAGAGGACCTCGAAGACTCGACGTGTTACTTCCATTTCTCTAACAGGAACGGTGAAGCTCCATGGAACTCACGGCGATATTCTCATCAGGACAGACAACACTGTTCAGCTTCAGTCTCGAAATGGCGAAGTTACTACCGCTCTCGACAGTTATCGCTTTCTTGATTTTGTTCAGGCGGCTCAAACCGAAATCCTGGATTTGAAAGAGCGACTCCATGCTCGGTTTTTGAAGCTGAATCCAAGAGCCAAATTACTCGACGAGCATCCCCTGATTATCGCTGGAGAATGGATCGGTCCAAAGATACAAAAAGATGTCGCCGTGAGCGCATTGCCAGAGAGGTATTTTGTGATCATCTCTGTTTCCATCAATGGCGAATGGCAGCCAGATGAGCTTTATTCGGACATCGAAAATGAATCGGTATGCATTGTCAACATATCGCGAGGAGGCTTCTTTCACGAGACGATTCTTCTTAAGGACCCACAACCGGCTCTTGCGAAGATGCAAGCTTTGGCCGATGCCGTGGAGGAAGAGTGTCCTTTTGCCAAAGCTTTTGGCATCATTGGTCTGGGTGAGGGCATCGTTTGGAAACCAGCTGCACCCCTTTGTCATGAAGCAAAGTATTGGATCAAATTGAAGGGACCAATCTCTATGGGAACGGCTGTGGCGGAACCGGCTGCTAGGATGCCGCAACGGAGCGGTTTTGTAACTCCTGTTTTTGGGGCACCAACTCTTCCCTCTGCTGTTGCAAATAGGGTTGTTCCGAGTAAACCAATGGGAAATACAATACCACCACGAGGAGGGTTTGTGACTCCTACATTTTCGTCGTCAACTTCTGCTGCTGCGGCGAGCAGGGCTTCTAATAGGATAACGGGTAACACAATTTCATTGCAGGGTTTGGACTTGGGTCAACTTCCCTCGACACCGGCTGCTACAAGTCGGGCTACTAAGAAGGGCAAATCGGAGAACTTAAAACTTACTCAAAGTAATGCGTTTACGCCATTGGTACCAAGAGTCGTCGGCGGAACTGTATCGGAGAACCAAGAGCCAGCTCAAAGTAGACCTGTGCCACTCATGCCCACGAAAATCGCAAAGGGGAACTTACAAACCCCCAACAACATCGAAAGAATTAGACCTATACAAGAGGTGTCCAAGAAAGTTGGCGATGTCACACCGACGATAGCGAAACCTATGGAGAGTGTCAAATCTGTACCGCCAATACCTCAAAAGATTCAGCGAACGAAATCGGAAATCCTGAGCCTTTACCAGAATGTTAGCCCGACGACAGTGTCACCGGTAGTTCAAAGGGTCGACGAATTCAAGCCAGATATTGCTGAGCCTACTGAGAGCGACAAACCCATCCCAGCAATATCCGAAGAAATCAAGCTCGAATTATCAGAGGATCAGGACCTTGGCGGATGGCTTATGCCATATTTCTCGAAGAAAACCGACAGCGAACAGCCCGAAAACACAAGTCTCAGTCCTTCGTCACTACTTGAGGAAGTTGAAGAGGTGATTTCAGAGAATATGAAGCAAAGTTCTCTGTCAGTGATACTCGAGGAGGCCGACGCAGGATCATCAGAGATTGGGATACCAATTTACCCACCTTTAATACTCAAGAAATCCGAGGAACCGGGAATGGCGGCAGCCAGGACTTCCGCATGTGAGGTAGTCAGGGAAAGAAGACTCGAGCAAGGATGGCAATACCTTGGTGAAATGGGGGTTCCCACAGATAAAAACGGTGTTGAGGTCTTCCTGAAATGGCTATGGCATGACGTAGCAGTAGAAGAAAAGGCAGAGATTGAAGAAATGGAAATTAATAGGGCGCTTTTAAAAAAGGAGATTGAGAGAATTGGCAGAGATTGGTATTTTGAGGAGTTGGCATTTGGCGAGCATAATGAGAATTTTGGGATTGGAGCGGAGTGTTAGGACGCGTTGAATATTTTTGATACCTCTGGGCGTAACATGGCATAGTATGGCATAGCGATAAGCAGTGGACTCGAACTCGAACTCAATTTAGCAATATATTCTTGAATACTGATACCAATATCGATATTTGATGTTCTGACGTTTTTACTCATATATGATTGAAGAAATCGTCTCTCACCAAAACATATTCTGCCAGAAGGCGGTGAGTTTACACGTGATTTTTGGGCTTTCTAAATATTTGGTTGCATATCTGAAAATGTTCATATTGTCAATCTGCCACAAGCGCCCTGTTTGGCACTTGTGTGAACACAAAATACATCGACTGGGAATAAGAACACTTTCTGGGTTTTATTCCCGGAGTTGACTAAAGACTAAAGTTGGTATGTGCGCAAATGTCAATTCTTAAATCCCGACTCCTGATTCTTTTAAACCTTCATTTGATTATTCTCGACTCGATTTCAATATTTCTCGACTTTGATGTGCATAGAAAGCATATAAAGTATCGAAAGTGTCGAGATAATGTTGTACAAATGATTAGAATTCGTATTCAAAGTTGGATGCGGACTACCACTTGTATTTATTCGAGTTTTACGATTTAACTCAGCTTCTTCACGGTAAACTATCTACGAGTACTCAGTACGTACTGTCATGTCACTATGCTATGGCATCAACCATACGTTCTTGGATTCGAGGAAGGTGTTGAATAAGACTTGACTTCTTTATACAATTGGTGTTAATTACCTATCAGTGCATTGTTCTTTCTCATATCAATAATAACGCTGGTACCTTTCTTTATTCCTGGCTCAGACTGCAAACGGTCTTCTTTCATTCCTTGAGTTTTTGTCAACAGACTCGTCCTTGAAAGAAGTCAACTTTCAATGTAAGTTCCAAGTGGAAATTGCGACACCGTTACTGAAGCATCTTATATGTATGATTCTTCACTAGAGACATCCAAATCAAATCGCTTCCAAGATGAGTGGTAACGCAATTGATTTCAGGGTCGTCGCGACCACGGAGTACAAAAACACCACCGTTGAGGTTCTCGAGGGGGATATGTTGCGTTATCCCGTGGATGTGATTGTGAATGCTGCGAATATTAGTCTCAGGGGAGGAGGGGGCATCAATGGCTTTATTCAGACTGCCGCTGGTCCACGTCTCTTACAGGAACTGAGAATGCGATTCCCACTGCCAGGGATCGTGGGCGGCGCTTATGGGCCGACTTCATCTCACAACATTAGATCATGCAACCATATCATCCATGCTGTTGGTCCGAATTGGAATACAGCAGCAGAGAGAGACCCGACACTTCTAGCCAATGCTTATCGCAACAGTCTAGATATTGCAAGGCGCAACAATCTCCGATCCATAGCGTTTCCAGCGATTTCGGTGGGAATATTTGCAATGCCATTGAGTATAGCAGGCCCTACAGTAATGACTACGATTAGAAGGTGGATCGAAGAAAATGAAAATGCAATGGATAGAATAAGTATATTGTTATACCGTTTTTCAGTAGCAGAATTAGCCGAGATGAGGTATCACCGGCTCCGGGTTTATCTTCAAAATGACGGCCTTGATAGGAGTGGAGAACCAGCTGCTGCTTTCAGAGTCCAACAACAGGCTGCTCAGATAATACCTCCCCCAGTTACAACAGCCGATGCACCACGAGTTACAAGAGCTACTGCAAGATCAGGTACAGGTACAAAAGCCAGCGCACCACCAGGTACAAAAGCCACTGCACCACGAGTTACAAGAGCCACTGCACGAACAGGTACCGGTACAAAAGCCAGTGCAACACCAGGAACAAAAGCCACTACACCTGGAACAAAAGTCACTGCAACATCAGGAACAAAAGCCACTACACCAGGAACAAAAGCCGCTGCAACACCAGGAACAAAAGTCACTGCAACACCAGGAACAAAAGCGAGTGCAACACTGGGAACAAAAGCCACTGCACCTGGAACAAAGGCCACTGCATTACCAGGTGCAAAAGCCACTGCATCACCAGGAACAAAAGCCAGTGCACCACCCCCTCCCCCTCCCCCGCCGCCTTCTCCTTCACCTTCACCTTCACCTTCACCTTCATCTTCACCCCCATCACCACCTCCACATCCACCTCCAACACCACCACCGGTATCACCCAAGCGCCGTAAACCAACCCAACTCGGTCCTCTCCCTTCCCCACCACCCCTCCCCTCAGGCGAAGGCGACGAATCCCCTCCCCCATCCACTTACGAACGCGAAGAAACTCCCCCCTACCTCCTCAACTACTACGAACCCCTCTCCCGCATGTGGATGGGACGCGACCGATACTACGCCATGCTCGAAGCCGGACTCGACCCCGAAACCTACATCGAAGGCATGATTATCCCAGACCCCGAAGACGATCCTGACATTGCGTCTTTGTCTGGCGATGAAGAAGTCCTTTTTGATGAAGATCATCGCGAACGACTTACGCGCGGACAACTACTTGATAAATATATGAAAGTTACGAGAGATGATGTAGTGCAGGCACCAATTGAAAATCTAAGTCCGGTGCGGGAGGAACATTTGCTCTATGTGCAAGAGAAGGATGAGCCAGAGTTTGAGGCGGCGGTGAAGAAGACGGTGCGGTGTGCTTGGGTGGAACCTGAAATGGGTAGATGTAATACGATGGGTAATGCCGAAGTGATGAGTACCAGGAAATTTCCGGATCGCTGTAATTTACATCAGGATGAAGTTCTGTATCGGATTTCTTGAAGGAACAGTCGATCGAGTAAAGATGTGAGGGGAGTGTTAGTCGCGGTTAGGTTGGAGCATTGGAGGTTATGGGAGTGAGTGGTGTTTAGGATTTAGGGGTTCGTTTCGATAGAGAATTGATTGAATTATATTTTTCATATCTTCATAATTTTTCGAGCCAGCCAGCCTATCATGTCAATATTATTCATTCCATTCATTTCAATCATTGATTTCCGCCAGGTAATGATTAATGATGCTAAACTACCGGTACCATCCATAGGTACTCTCAGTTTATAAAGTACTACCATACCATACCATACTACAACACCAAACAACATACCTATATATAAATCTTCACACCACGTCCATCTTCTATGATAAGTGATCAGTTTTTCCCCTCCTTCCCTCTTCCTCTTCCTCTTCCTTTCCCCTTCCTTTCCCCTCCTCTCCTCCCCTATCCCCCTCATAACCTTCCAAAAACAAAGGTTTCCTAATACCAGATATATCCTATTCCCAATCTCTGAAAATTTATTTATTGGCGCTTCTTCCTATTCTTGGCGGCTGGAGCTTGGATAGGATAGGATAGGACTGGAAGGGGAACTTGAAGGGGTTTTTAGTGGAAGGGTAGAAGAGGCGATTCTTTTTGAGATAGTAAGAAATGTATATTCAGATCTGGTAGTGCTATTCCTAGTTATTCCTGTAGATATTTATATTATCGGATGAAGCTTAAATAGCTATACTTGAGTTATAAAATATAACATAATAAAATAAAATATATTTAGGAGTTTTTTTGCATTTTTTTTAGTGTTTTCTTGTTATTTCTAGGAAGAATTTAGTTTTGTCCTATTTATTCCTATTTACCTCATTTTAATTATGTATTCCTTCCTTTCTGCTCTTAATCTTAGGTACCAGCGAGTTTATCCTAATTATTCTGTCTTGTAGTATAGGAAGGGAGGGGAAATCATCATCACCACTGTCTATGGTGTGGTTTATCCTGTAGAGTAGTATATATACAAACCGTCAACCATCAGCCATCACAATTACAATAATTACAAGACGAAAGAAAAGAAAAGAAAAGAACATAACCAGTATACTAATTATATGCAATACCATGAGCATAAGCATGAGCATAAACAGATATACTCGAGGTACTAGTAGTACTACTACGAGTAGTCCACATAAACACCACATAAACACCTTACATACAATACAATACTCATTTTCCTAGAAATAAACCTGTAGATATCTATTCGACTAAGTAAATGCTGGTCGGTATATGGCATTTGAGTATTGTATATGATATGATATGATACTAGTAAGACTTACTAGATCGAGGTTTTTCATAGTTAGTAAAGCGATGTAATGTGATAATGGATGGATGGATGATGGATGGATGGTATGGTATGGTATGGTATATATGGTTGAGGGGATTATTGTATGTTATCGAGTGTGTATATGTATGTATGTATGTTCTGTGCAAAATTGTAGCAGTGTAGAAGAGTAGCAGTGTAGATGTGTAGAAATGTAGATCTGTAGAAGTGTAAAAGTAGGATGAAATATTGGAATATCCGAATATCATGTTGTTTGCTAGAGACTAGAGACCAGATATAGTACACAAGCAAGTGTGCGATATGATATGATATGATATGATATAATGACTCCGATTATTCATTCATATATTTGTATACACTCAGACTTCTGAGTTCCCTGTATCGGCAGTTGATACTATACTATACTATAGAATCGAGTCTTGAGTTCGGAGTCATTAGGCTATTGTATATACAGTACCATTACTCGTAGACCTACGGTCTAGCTTGAGCGAGGTATGTCACTCCCATACTTTCATAGGGATCCCCATTATATTCCAGAGAGCGAGAATGCCATATTATTGACAAACAAACTCACCCTCGCACCTCGTGTATGCAGGTACAGTACCGATCCATCATATCATCCATCATATCATCCATAATACAAACCCTAGCCCAAAAAACTCCAACTAAACACTCACTGTGACCCTTACAGTACCGTTTTCGTTGCCGTTACACAACACATACTCACTCATTTACCCCTTCGCTTACAATACGCCTATGATGCCGGGTGAGTGAGTGGATGGGTGAGTGGATGGGTGGATAGGCGGATAGGCGGATGGGCGGATGGGTGGGTGAGTGGATAGGTGGGTGGGTTATGAAGTGAAAAGAAACTAGATTTTATTAGATTTTGTTGGATTAGGTTAGATGGAGAGAGATGGGGGGGTTTGTAGGGGTAGATATGGGTAGAGGCGCATGGGTGCGGGTTAAGGATTTGTATTGGGATTGGGATTGGGATTGGGATTGGGATTGGGATTGGGATTCGGATTTGGATAGGGTGTGGTGTGGTGTGGCTGGGCTGTTGATGTGTATTTATTTGGTGGTGTGGTATGGCGTGGTATGGTTTGGTATGGATGGATAGGGTGGATGGGTCATTGGGTGGACTTTGTTGTTGGTAAGGACCCTTTAGTGAGGGGAATATGGGAGATGGGGCCGTCTGTCGATTGGTGAGAACACCACTTATCGGGGGGAAATTGGGGATTGAGAATGCTGTGCTGTGCTGGGGTGGAGCGGAGTGGGGTGGAGAGTTTTCCACTGCCAAGTCTGTAACCGATGGACGGGTTGACAGGGCTAGCCTGTGTACTCGAGCTTGGACTCGTGAGTGGATGGATGGATAGACGGACGGATGGATGGATGCATAGGCCATAGGGTATTATGGATTGTGGATTGTGGATTCGATAGAGTTTTGAAAGAGAAAGAGGAGAAGCAAGTAAAGTCAAGAATGGGGGGAGAGAAAGGTGGATGAATACTCCGTAAAAAGTAGGAGTTTTTTATTATTATGGGATATTGTAGTGGGTGGGGCAGGCTGCGTTGCATCAGATCTAGATCTGGAAAGTCAAATTGATGAATGCGGTTGTCCTTGAGACTGGGAGTGGATGAGTGGGTGGATGGATGAGCGGATGAATGGATGAGTGGATAAGTAGAAAGGGACCAGGGAGTTGGTTGGAGTCGTCGGGACAATTTGCATGCTTTCCGGATTTGAAATTCGAATTTTGTAGAGGGCTTGTAAGTTGTAACTTGTGTGAGTGGGGCGCGTATATATATGGGGTTTTGATATTTTTCACATGTTGAGGATGTCACTGTATGAATGTCACCGGGAGGATGTCACTGCACGAGTCTGTATGGCAGTGTATCCAGGGTACTATGGGAAGAGTCGAAGAGTCGATATATTAAACAAGCGAGATACACACCAATTCACCAATTCCCAATTCCCTTATAGCATATGCATACTCTCATACATACTCATGCATGCATCGGATACAAACCCTCACGTTCCGTTTTGACACCAGCCAGGGAGGGTTCTTTCTGTTCGGTTCGGCTCCACACACCGTACTCTACTCCGTACTGTACATGTATGCAAAAATTCTACCACACCAACAACTCATTATCACAAGTTGCATCTATGTAGTCACTATTGAGAAATTGAGAAAGAAAGACATGGGAATACATGTAAATACATGATCACATTCTCAATTTAATGATACTATTTACCTATCTACCCACCTACCTGTCTCTCATCACGTAGATGCTACCTATATACATACATACAGCAACCATACCATACCACACAAAAGCATACCGATACCAAACCGGTATACCTTTATGAAGTATATCCACCAACTTCCTCCAACCAACTGAACTGAACTTCACTCCACCAATACTAACATCCATCCACCTCTGAAATTCCATCTTTCCCACCACCGATCCCAATTTTTTCTCCTCCCTCAAACCATCGAACCCATCCAACCGATGTGTACTCATACTCCAATATCCCCAACCTTCTATATGATAAAAAGCAGCTCTAAAGCATCAAGTCGTTATGTTAAGTAGGACCATCCACTCATCCGTCCCATCATCCCATCAATTAGTCGATCAAATCTAGCCATTCCAATCCATTCCAATCCATACCTTCCATGCCTTACTCCCCAATCCCGACCCAAGAATCTCAAGTTACGCCTGTTAAAAGTAAGACCCAGTAAAGTAAACACAGATGAAGAAAGACCCCAAGAGAAAAGTAAAGAACAAGTAACAGTACGTGCAAGCGCAAGCCTTGTATCATGATAATGTGCGCCAGCCAGTTTCTACAACCTCCTGCACTCGCTATCGTTGATACTTTTACTGCCGAGTCTTAGGCATTTTGTTAGCTAGCGATCTTTATGAGAGGCTTAATTCCCATTTACCATGATCAGCAGTATGATACTCCCAATCAACAGAACAGTAGTGATTATAAGCACAGCCCCTCGATGTGCCCAACCAAGCTTTTCGTTACGACACGCCATGCAAACTAATCCACCAACGGCCAGACATAATCCAAATGAGGCGCCCATGAGTGCGCCCAGATCAACTTCCGTCCTCAATTTGTGTCTTCCTGTTGCGAGAAGGAGTGTGGATGCTGCTTCAGAGAATGCCGAGAAAAAAAAGCAAGCAATCATTGTAAATAACAGAGTTTGTTCTTGGAATCGACCCAATCGTTGATCGGCCACGCTGGGAAAAGTAGCATAATGAGCTACATATCCGCCTGGGAAATCCGCCGAGGAGGCGTATGCTTCGTCTTCGACATCGGTTTCTGAACCATTGGCTGTTCCGTTGGGACTTCGTTGAGGATATCTTCTCCTCTCTTGAGTTCCCAATAGTGCCTCACGTTCGCGGGGTTTTGATGATCCAGCGGGTGCGAACCAATCTATAACCTTTTCTATGCCTTGCTTTGTTCGTCTAATCGCAATTGCTACAACTTCTGCGCCAGGAAAGGTTATCTCCGCATTCGGGTCCGCGAATATGTAATATGGTTCGTCGTGATCAACATCGCTCCCGTCATCGTATTCATTCCAATATCTTTGTAGAGGTGGCGATTGTCGTTGTGTATGCGTTGGAACACGATTGGGACTTTCTCTTCTTGAACTCGTACTCGGGGTAGAAGGTCCACTGGTTACTGGTGTTGAAGCTCGGAGTAGGGTGATGAGATCATTGTATTGAGAATGCAATGGACTGAAACCTTGTCTTGTGAAGCTTTTTGGATCTCCCAATATCTCTGATTCGAATCGTTCTTTGAGCGCTCGAGAACCAGTCCATCTCTAATGACGTCAGATAAGCTTTTGTATTGATTGGTATTATATTGTAATTGTTCATACCGTATACTTTTTCAATAGTTTGTAGAATGCGACACGCTGGGCTTCAACAAATCGATCCAATTTGGCGAGATCATCTCCACAGCTTTCAATTTGAGTGTTGTATTTAGGGAATTTATTCATCCTCTTCCTCGTCATCTGCCCACTACTGCTTTCTGCACATCTTGCAAGTAATCGAAGGACAATATTTGATAAATATTCTATTATTCAATTAGCTTTTGATCGACTCGAATTCCGACTTTATCATCTTCTTGTAGGCTTGTACTTACGAAGTCTGCGACCAATTTCCTCACTCTTACTCTTGACAAACAGTTCAACACGATCATGTTGGTTTGATAACTCTGTAAAGAAATCATTCTCAAATGCGACCAAAGCAGTATCGACATGACCCGGAATAACAATTGATTTCCCGGTATCTTTCGTAGTATTGTGCTTTATCAAAAGCTTCAATTCGTCATAATCGAGGTTGTCTAATCGCAGAGCGAGTAAAGTTGTTTTGTCAGTGAGTGTTATGTTTATCTGCGTCATTGTGTCGGTGCATAACTTGAGTAATCGCATATCGTTTGTACATCGTACATCGCATATCGCACATCTCACCAAATTAAAAAGAAATGTTTCAAACTCACATGGCGCCCATTGTGGCACAGAGTCCAACTGAAATTGCTGACCGTACTTCATTCCTACAATGTACTCTTCCTTTGTAAATTGCTTTTAAGCAATTGTATCCTTATATAGTAAATTCGAGGTTTCTTGTTTCCTTTGTTCGTTCCCGTTAAACTTTCATGCACGGGTAACAGCGGTCCTGGTGGAGAACTTGGAAATTGGATACGCAATATATCCTATCTAGTGGACACGGAAATCCAGACCCAGCAAATGCAAAATCCAGGCAATGCGTCGGCAAAGTTATGGAAAAGAAACTGAAGACGAATAAAAAAGAGAGAGAGAGATGATAAGCTTTTTGAAGTTGGTAGGCAGTGCCAAGTGTCAAGGGGGGGGGCTGAATGCAGTATGGAAGATGGAAGATAAGAAAAAGATTCTGCCAGTGCCAGTGCCAAAACTTCTAGATTTCACACCAAGACAAGGATCAGACAATATCTTTTTAGTCGTGGTGTCTGCTACGGGTAGCAAAGATAGCGATAAATTACTCGAGAATAGGAATAATGGTTGTGAATTGCGGAACTTTTATGGTACCCAAGATTGTAAATCAGTACTCCGTTCGAGGATATGGATTTTGGATCTTGGATTCTGGATTCTGGGTTCAATATTTGACCCGTTGTCAATGGCCTGGAATCTCCTATAAGTACCACAATGGACACCGGCGGGGTCTTTTCTGTTCGTTCGGTTTCCCTTCCCTTTCTGATTTTTTTTTGGTACAATCTCCCTCCTTTCCTTCTTGATTCTCTGCAAGAGGATAATTGATTCTAATGGCAGCGATAGCGCGTGCATGTGCATATGCACATGAAGGGTCTCGCTGGGCCTGGTTTCAATTTGATGTCTTGATTGGTGCGCAGATATTGATCGAATTAAGCACCGACATGCAGGAAGTGTGGTGGTGTAGTGGAGTGAAAGTAATTGCAAGGTATGGTAACAGGGATCCTTCTTTTCGTATTACTATCTACCGATTGCCATGTACGATATATAGTATGGAAGAAAAAGTTCGATGATTCTCACTGTCGTGTTACATGAAATGAGGTTAGGTAGTCAATGAGATGAGAGTACCGAAGAGGAGAGATTTACTTGTGCAAGACTGGCAAGTACGGAGCAGACGGAGAAAACTCTGATCTCTGTGACGAAACCTCATTATCTATGACCAATTAGGTTGTCAAATGCCATTGTTGGCTTGAAGTTAGTACACTAGGTGTTTTATTAGTTGGAACTTTGTTAGAATATGCGAAGGAACTACTGAGTGAGTGGTTGTTAGATCCCAGTCCTGTTTTAGATACTGCATCTGCAAAAGCATATCATTTCATCAATACATAACTAGATATCGTGCTTATCATCTACCTACCTATATAGGTATCAACAGGCGGATATATAGATAAACTATCTTGGTCGTCTTTGCCTCAGACTCCGAATAGAAATTGAACCTTACAAAATCTCTCAACTTCATACAAAACATCATCAGGTCTTTCTTTGCGTAGCAGCTGGGTTTTCAAGACTTCATCATGGTTCACTCGGAATCCAGATATGAGGGTGTGAATGACCCTGGTTCGATATATCATTGGTAAAGACATGCGTGCATATGTACTCACTCGTACATGCAAATGCTTTCAAATTAGGCCAGTGGCCCCGAATCACAAGCAAATACTATCTGTGAGTATCATCTGGAGTTGATAGAACGGTACTGACTCTTTTGTATAGTGACATAGATTGTACTGGACTTTTGGTTACAGTTATCCAAATTGTCAGTATGAGGAGTAAGGGTAGTGTGGGAAGCTTTGCGAGTGCTACAAATCATCTTCAGAACAAGGTCCACGTTTCTGGATACATCCAGGTGTCCCTGTTCTTTCTGAATTTACCCCGAGAAAGTCTGTTGCAATTTCTCCTCGTGCGCACAAAATGTTCTTCCTCTGGCCTGCCTTCTCATATTCAGAACCTGCGATTACCCCTCTATCAATATGACGGTGATTTAATCTGAAGTCGTGAAACATTTTGGCAAACGCATGCTTTTTAGCCCGGAGATCCGAATGGAAAGCCCAACTTGGCGATGATTTGGACGCGACGACATTACCATCAATCTTTGCCCGGAGAGTTGCTCCGGCCCCTGCGCCTGAAAAGAGGAGTTGATGTGAGATTTGGGAATACATGAAGTCAAATGATTGACGATAGTAATCAAGCAACATCTAGATGGCGATTTTTGGTACGGTTTGGACCCCCACACTTTTGTTATTCTTCACGACATACGCAATAGATTTTTCCTTTAGCATCGAACGGCTAAATGGAATTCCTTCTTTCCGGCGACATGCATCACCAAGCCTTGAAGTTCTCGTTCTCAAATGGCGTTGTCGATGTTGTACAATTGATGGCTCCAAAAACAGCAATACCTCACGCGAGCAAGTTTCAGGCTTTCAGGCTTGTGTCATGCTATCGTACTTTAATGGCCAATACATGTGTGAACAAAGATTCACGGGACCTTCGTGAACACACACCGTTGTGTTATGGTGGAGCATAGCCAACCACTATATCGAGATGAATGTGATAGAATATCCGATTTCGCATGCAACGTCGGGCACAATAAACGGGCAACAGGGGTTTAGTGTTGAAATGGTGGGTGCAGTGGCGTTTATCAGAGAAATTGTATGCGTTTTCAGCTGACTGAAGTGCAGCAAATGTGTCAAAAATGCAGCAATTCGACCTCCATGGAGGCTCTTGATAACGAATGTATCATACTGTGTGAATCAACTTTGATGGTTCAACTTCCATTTCAATCAATCACTTGATTGAGAAGGTGTATGGTTGAGGATGAAATTGTCGCTTTAGGTGGCCCAAAGCCCAAACTATATTAATATCAAGAAAAAAGTAAAGGTCCCAAACATAAACGTACCATGGTGTTGAGTATATCACGTGGCCGTTATCGTGAGCTGCGCTAGTCTTATCGCCGAGCTTCGAGGAAAAAAACTTCAAATTGTCAAATGTTGAAAAATTGGAGAGTATCAACTATGGATACGACAGGCAGCACTACATCCTCGACGACATCAACTTCACATACCATGACTGTCTCCCCACCCATTAATGTTTCAGCCGCCATGCCCACCCAAAATGGCACAAATGGACAAAGTTCAATTGAAGAGTTATTAGTTGCGCTTGCTCCGACCAATCGGTATACTTTTATTGCGCCTTCGTCACAATTACCTAACGCGAGTTTGGAATATGCAAAAGAGACACTGGATCGATTTGCGGGGAAATTAGGAGATGAACAAGCGAAAAGATTGAAAGAGCAGAGGAAAAAGAGAAAGAGGGGTGACAGGGATGGGGATGAGGGAGAGGTGTTGAAGATTAGGAAAATACATACCCAAGGATTTGAGGTTCAGCAAGTTTGGGAACAGGCTAAAAGAGTTATTGATGCGCTGAAAGGAGATGCAGAAAGGGCTCTTGAGGAGTTTGGCATTGGTGGAGATGAGAGTGAAGAGAGTGACGAGGAGGAGGGGAGTGTTGATATGGCTAAGTTTGATGAAGATGGATTTGGAATTGGTTCGGATGCTGAGGGCGAGGAAGGGGATGAAGATGTCGAAGAAATGGAAGAAGAATTTCACACAGATGAAGAGGACGAAATGGACGGCCAAGAGGATGGCGAGGCTTTCGAAGGCTTTGGAGAAGAAGATGGAGAGGACCAGGACGAGGACGAAGATGAGGATGAAACTGGAGTTTTTGTGGAGGATCCAAATAAACTCAACGATGGTTTCTTCTCAATCGACGAATTCAACAAACAAACAGAATTTCTCGAGCGACAGGATGCCTCAGCGGACACTTTTACTGGAGAAGCAAGTGATGAAGAAGATATCGATTGGGGTAATGATCCAATGTCTATGCCAATCAAAGCAGATAAAAGCTCCAAACGTGCAGAGGCTATGGATGTCTCAGACGGAGAAGATGACAAAGAAGAGGGTGGACCGACATTTGGCAACATGGATTTGAATGCACCTGAAGGAGATAGTGACGACGACGACGAGATGGATTTGGACGAAGCTGCTCATCTAGCCGAAGATAACACAAATGACATTCTTTACAAAGATTTCTTCGAACCACCTCCAAGAAAGATCGGTAAAGGAGAACTACAAGCAAAATACTTGGAGAGACAAGCCAAAAAAGCCAAAGCCTCCGCACCCGAAGAAGATGAAGATGCTATGAAACGAGCTATGGCCGACGTTCGGCGCGATCTATTCGACGACGAAGACGACGCCAACTCTGAGGATGACCTTTCCGATCTCGACCCAGCGGACCCTAAATCTCGTCGCTCAACCCACGAACGCCGCCAAGCTAAAATCGGCGAAGAAATCCGCCGTCTCGAAGCTGCATCCGTCGCGAAACGTGATTGGACTCTAGCAGGAGAAGCAAGAGCTCTGGATCGACCCATGAACTCTCTCCTCGAGGAAGATCTCGATTTCGAACGCACCGGTAAACCCGTCCCCGTCATCACAGCCGAAGTAAGCGAAAGCATCGAGGAACTCATCAAACGACGAATTCTAGCCCAAGAATTCGACGAGGTTATTCGTCGTCGTCCAGACTCATTAACTCCTGCCAATACCCGTCGTGGACTCTTCGAACTCGACGATTCCAAGAACAAACAAAGTCTCGCGGAAATTTACGAGGAAGAACATGTTAAAAATACCAATCCCGATACGTTCGTCAGTAAAACAGACGAGAAAGTACAAGCCCAAGAAAAAGAAGTCGAGAATCTATGGAAAGAAGTATGCGCCAAGCTCGACGCCCTCAGTTCCTGGCACTACAAACCCAAGCCCGCAGCCCCAAGTCTCACCGTCGTCGGAGACGTCGCGACAATCAGCATGGAAGACGCACAGCCCTCCACAGCATCCGGTATTGCCGGTGGCGAATCCATGCTCGCACCGCAAGAAATCTACAAAGCAGGTCAATTGGCCGAGGGACAAAGGAAAGACAATAATGAGATTACCCGTGGAGGCGCACCGGTTGCGAGAGAGGAAATGAGTCGAGAGGAGAAATTGAGGAGGAGGAGGAGGGAGAAGGAACGCATTAAGAAGATGGGAGATGGGGAGAAGGTGGTGAGTAAGAAGACGAAGGAGAAGAGGGAGGTGGTGGGTGAGTTGAAGAAGGCTGGCGTTAAGATTATTGGGAAGAGGGGTGAGATTAGGGATGTGGAGGGGAGGAAAATTTTGGCGAGTGAAGTTGTTACTGGGGGTGGGGGGTTCAAGTTGTAGATTGTGTGTGAGTTTGTGTTGGTGGGGAGTTGGGAGTGTAATATCGACAGACGTGGGGATGAATATCAGGCAATTGCCACTGTTACTCTCAATGAATTGAATGTTCTGTTCTGTGAAAATGCGTCAATCGTATGTAAAATTCAGATCAGAGTCTCTTCTCGTGTATACCAATTACCAATCTCCTCCATCTATCGTTTCGTCCCACCAACTCCTGATTTCTCTCTCTCTAGCTCTTTTCCCTCCAAACCCGCCGGCCTCTCAAGCTCCACAAAACCCCCCATCCTCACATCACCCACAACATCCCTACTCTCCTTCCTTTCCCCACTTCCCACTTTATCCCCCATCAACTCCCCACTCCTCTCCCACCCCCTAGCCTCCTTACTCAACGGTCTCCACCACCCCTCTCCCTCCTCACTCCTCGCATGCCACCTCCCCCCACACATCTGCCACAACCTACTCGCCGCCCTCTTATACGCAAACCTCTCATCCTCGCCCGTAAAACTCTCCGTCCTTCCAAAATCTACTCCACTCCTCCGCCCAATCTCATTCCCCGCACCAGGAGTTGGATTGAAATCTGCATCTTCATCAGGATCGTATCCCGATTTTACGGTCGGGGTATCGGTATACGTCGAAATATTAGGACGAAAAGGCGAGGTTTGGTCTTGGTAGATTTCTGAGAGCGTTTCGGAGTATACGGCGTCTTGGGGATTCTCATTAGATTCGGGATCAGGGTTGGAGGAGGAAGAGAGTTTCGTTTCGGGAAAGAAGAGAGTATCTGGCCCGACGGCGGCGCGGACAATGAGTTTACAGCGGGCTTCGTAGAGAGCGTCGAGGAGGGTGATAAGACGTCTGGCTTCATTCTTTTGGAGGAGTGTTAGGATGGGAACGGAATCGAGGATGAAGGTGTGAAAGGTGGATGCCATTGTTATGTAGTCTGCGGGGCCAAAACTACCGCCGCAGAGGGTGGAAAAGTCCCAGTAAGTTATACCGTCAAGGTGGCGAGGAACGGGAACTGTACGGCCATAGACTAGAAGGGTGGTTGATTGCCATGGGATTGGATCTGAGAAGGATGGTAAAGCTGATTTTACTACTTTCTCCCAAGCATCATCGCTGTCTGATGTGAGAAGGTATTTCTTGGGAGCACCTGCCTTCGCAGCTTTCTCGGCGATCTTGTCGTCAACTTCTTCATAGACACTTTGTTCATATCCAGGTCCAAGATTGCCAGGGGAAAGCTTTTCGAGTCCAGTAAATCCTTCTATTATTTCCTCCCTCAATATTTCAGACATCTTCGCAGTTTCATCATTCACATCCTCGGTTTCTCTTCGTCTCCAATCTCTACCACCCTTACCCATATCCCAGATCTCGCATCTAGCTTTCAAAACTCCAACAAATCCCGAGAAGTCGTTTCCACTGGAGAACATATCAAGCTTCTGCGGCTTAGCTAAGCCTAGCCAATTTTTCACAAGTCCTCCTCTTCCAGGTACTGCATAATCCATACCGCTGGCTTTTTCCAGCTCTTCTGGCATGCGATTTGAAGATGCTATAAGTACACCACCTAATTGAAAGAAAGGTGTCAGAAGGTTACTCAAAATCTTACTTGCAGCTCGGTCTGGCAACTGAAATTCATCCAGGAAGAGTATGGGTGATTTTTCAATCATATCCTTTGCTAGCCAAAGTAAAGAATAATCTTCTGAACCGAGATCTCTATGCTTAGAGCGAGACTGTCTCAATTGTTCCAAGCGTGCAAACGTCTCTAGCATGAATGTATTGAAATGCCATCTTCTTTTCTTGCTGTTCGGTAGACTATCTGCTAGCATATCCAATAGCATTGACTTTCCAGTCCCAACCTCACCATGAAGCAATACACCTTGTGGAGAGTCTAGATGCATTGCTGCTTCATGACTTGTGAGGACTTTTGTCATAGCAAGTGTATCTCGTCGTTCTTTTCTTTTGAAAATATGCGCAAATAGTGGATTGTTCCTTAAAGGATGACCAGGTACCGCTACCGCCTGGCCATCTTCGGCATTTTGGTCATCATTAACGGCGCGACTGATTGCTTTGAGTCGATCTGCATATTCTGATCGAGGTTGATAGTCCTTCAATCGTAAATATAGCTTTTGTAAATGTAAAGCTATACGGTGTTGAGCTGGATCGGGGTCAATTGCTTTAGTCGCTAATAGAGCACGATATAAAATGAGTGGGTTAGTAATTGTAAGCCCTGTGGATTGAGTGAGGTTGGTTGGTGGCATTTGGAGCATTCATCAACAATTTGAAAGTGAATTCTCCATCACGTTGATGATGACGGGCGAAAATGCAAGCGTCATCGCCGGCACTAAAATGGTTGATTTCTCAGCCCTGTGTTTCAGCCTTGTAGCCTTGCATATTTTTGTAAAACAAATTTTTGGTTGATTAACCGGTTTCGGGAATAATAAATCATTCTCAAAGAACACTTGGATGTATCGACAATGAAGAAAGTAAAGGAACAAGCCGTCTTGACTGGGCGGGCTTGAGAAGACAATATCGTACAAACTTCAAGGACCTCTCTGCAGGTGTTTGTTGATTATGGACTTCTTTCTGTGGCATTGTCATCAATTCCTTTGCGATAGACATATAACTCAAGATTTGGGCGTAGAGAAGCAATATGAACGAATCCAATTGAGTTCAAATGTTGTAGCTGCTGCTGAAGACAACTCTTACAGAACAACAGGAAGGCTTCAGAAAATAATAGAAGTTGATTGTTTGAAAGCTTTACTAACTAAGCTCACCTCACCTGGATGAGCTTACCTAAGCCTGAGCTTTATATGGTCAAAAAGCTTAGACTAAAACGCGTTCCCACCGCCTTTGCCTCTTGTACCTGGGCTGAACCATGATTATTTTGGGCAGATGGATCTAAACTTTAATAAGAAGCTTTGAAAACAAAACACAAGTTACTCTCAACGAATAATGCCAACAACTCCATCGATCTTTCTTCTATCTTAAATTTTGTCACTTAATTCGAACTCCCAACTCATTTTTGAGATGTTTTCACCTGCAGTCAATGCCGGTGCTCCTGCTCCTGTAAGGAGTAGTAGAAGACGTCCACGACCTCACTCGAATGAGAACTCATTAGCACAACCAAAAAGCAAGAGAGTTCGAAGCTCATATAATGACCAGACTTTCGCGCCGAATGGTACGCCTGAAATGGATGAGGCAAAAAGTAATAAAGTAGCTACTTTAACGAAGCGCGAAAGTCCCAAGGAGGCATCAAATCCAAGACGAGAGATAGCAGTGAGAGGCAAGAAGTCGAAAGGAGGAGATCGGGCTGGGAAAGGAGATGGAAGCGTCGTTCTTGTGAGTCTTACACCAGCTCAATGTTTTGCGACTTTTGGAAGCTGATAACTTACTTCCTTTGGCAGACTAAGAATGATACCTATACAGTCAGTAAACTTCTAGCGCTTCCCGATCAAATTCGCACAGATAGCACAGGTATTTATTACTCTCTCGTCGATATAGAGCTCATCACTAAATACACATTACAGCTCGCCAGCACGGCGCAATATTTTCGGATAGTGGTTATGCACTTGCGCTCACCTATTCCCACGCATTTGTTTGGCCATACGCTATCAACATTCCTTCTCCCGAAACTTTCACATTCGCTTTACCTCATAGCACTAAGCATGGATCCGATCCTCTTCCCCTTGGCTCGTTAGTTTCGCCCTCTGCATCATCCTCGGAGCCAGGCCTTGTCGTCGTTATACCTACCACCGGCAAAATCACATATTGGGAATCTATCGCCAGCGCCGCTACGCTTGACCTGATCAAATTAAAAAGCAATGGAGTTGGATCAACTATACCAGGAATGCTTTCCGGAGAAACCGTTGTGCAACTTTTGAATGCGGAAACGGCTGGATTTATTCTGGCATTTAGTACCGGACGACTGGCTTACTTGAGAGTCAGGGATGGCCATGGAAGACCCGAGATATCTGTTCAATTTTTGAGAGGATCAAGCGGACCTTTAGCCGGAGGCATATTTGGCAGTCTTCGAAATGCGCTGTCTAGCTCAGCATGGCGTGGAGACATTGCCGCTGTTCGCGCCGGACCACAGGAGCATGTAGGAGATCGAAATGTTGTCGTCGCAACAGGAAAGGGAAGAATACAACTCTGGAACCTTCAGAGAGATGGACAGAATGCTCTGCACGCCGAAGCCGAGGGACGGGAAGCAATCGTTAGGGAAATTAAAAAGTCCGAACCTACTCTATCCGACCTCTCGTTGGAAACGTTCGAGGTTCTTGACTTCACCTTCAAAGCTCAATCATTGGAGAACCACGACGACGAAGGAGATCACCTACTTTTGCTTACATCCCTCTCTAATCGGCATGTCAGTTACTACACCCTCGTCGACGTTGTCCTTATGCGGGACCAGTTGATCGTGGAAAACGTTCGATTGATCAAATCTTATACCACTCCAGTCAACAAGCATGCGATTTCAAAGGCACGAATTTACCTACCCAATCCAGAACTTGTTACATACATTGTCTTTGACCGTGCTGTAGTTGTTGTTTCAAGGGCAAAACAGGCCGACTCGCCCGACTCACAACTTCGTTCTGAGAACCACACCCTTTCGCCTTCGTTCGAAGATGTGGTAGACTTCAGAGAGGATACAAATGTTGAAGTTGTCGGATCGGGCATGGAAGAACCGCAAAATATGCCACATGGTATTGAGGAAGCAAAGTCGCGCAAATTCAAGGCAAAGCACCCCGCTGCGGTTCTACTCGTTCGAGGCGGGGGTGTGATTCGAGTGGCGGCGACCGATATTGACAAACTCGCATCCAGCACAGGACAGCAAGTCACTGCAAAGAGCAAGTTAGAACAAGCAGTATTTTTTGGGACAATGGCACAGAATCCGTTGAATTTTGCAGGTAGATCAGAATTGCAATTTCCTGCGGAAGAAGTTGGAGCAGCCGCTCTGAAATTGAGTTTTGAGATTATGCAATCAAAAACTCCTTTCATTCCTTCGGTGTCTGCCTCACTCGAACAGCATCTCAAAAAACGAGCTACATCTCTTCATGATCTTGCTAAGCATCTCAAAGCGACTGGTGTAGCGCTCGACAGGGTCACGCGATGGAAGTTACTTTGGGATGCCGAGAAGATGACGGCGGCAATAATTGTCTGGCAGCGGTATGATAGTCGTATTCGAGAGCTACCAGAAGGACAGAAGCGTGGGATTCTCGCAGAACTTGTGGACCACATTCACGAAGACTTTAAAACAGAGCCTGTTGCTGAGAAGGGCGAAGTCGATCGTGTTCGACATTATTTCATACACGATATTGCTCAATTACATTTCGCTATACCGTGGGCATTCCAGATCCTCAAATATGCCTGGCTGGATGGCAAGAATACTCCTGCTCAAATAGTGGAGACATTGAGTCAATCTGACGATACGATGATTGGTGCATTAGAGGGTGCGTTTGACTTTCGGATGGACAATTTAGGACTATATGGACTGCAATCAGAAATATTGTCATACGGAATATTAGAAGAAGGCTACGAGGGACTCCCAGAGTTTTGGACTTCGACTTTCTACATCGCCGAAAATATTCGAAAGCAAACAGACCTTGTATCTATGCTACTTGTAGACTATTGGAATAAGCCTGTTAAAGAAGGCAGCCCTGATACTGCAATTCTCGACAAAATACGACTAGAGCATCCGTCTCTTATTGATATGGCCATCCGATCCAACTTGGAAAGAGTACGTTGGATATCAGCACAAGACTCACCACAACTTCAAATGCAGGCAGAAGGACTCCAAAATCTACAATCTGATGCACAAAATAACCAATTACAGCGTCTTGCATCTGATTGGGGCCTCCCCGATGAAGCAATGAAACTTGCTGAAAATCACGAAATTCTACCGACGCTGACTGCTATTCTGATGTATGAGGTCGGTGTTTGTGCCGATAGACTTCGTATGCCGGGAATTGACCAAGATGAATTCGAACAGCTTGGTCAACGAGCAAAAGCCCTCAGTGACCGGATGGACAAGTATTTTGCAACCTTCGGTGCGAGTTGGGCTACCGCTCTCTATGAATATTACATCAGTACGGGAGGACTGCCAGAGATGCTTAATGAGTATCAAAATCAAGGAGCATTCCTCACGGCGTTTCTGCGCGACAAACCGGAGTATGCTAAAATTGGTTGGATTCACGAGATCACTCGAGAAAGGGATTACGACGAGGCCGCGAGAATGCTTCTTGAACTTGGACTTGATCGAGAACAAGATGTCTGGAGCAAACAGATTGAGCTTAGCATCGGCAAGCTGTCGCGTATGGCAGGTCGGAATTATAGTCAGACAAACGGGATTATTATTCCTGATGGAGGTGAGGCGGAACTTATCAGAGCAAACCAAGAGCTTGGATTAATCAAGATCCAAGATCTGATCTACAATTACATACATCCCTCCATCAACACGGCCATAGATGACAACGCAGAAGTTCAACTTGCTTTAGAAGCTCATGGCAACAAGAGTTTGAAGCGGCAGTTCTCTTTCATGAACCTTCTTGAAAATAGCATGACTCATCTCGTCAAGCATGAGGCTATGGATGCATTTTGTTTGGTAGACTTGCTTACCTTGATGGGTGATAATTTCAGAACCATGGAACAAGATGACTTTAGCCTTGGCAGGTTTTATTGGGCACTTGAAGCTATTCGTTTGGGAGCTTCAAATAAGGAGGAGAAGCTGCTCATGCAACGTGTTATCTGGAGAAGATGTCTTTTGAGAGATGATTGGGCTGCGATGAACAATACAGAGGCTAAAGACGATCAACTAGTAGAAGATCAGTTGAAGACAACAGCATTGTATTGGACACTCAAGGCCTGCTTCAAGAATCGTAAGAATTGTTGTTTTAATTCCCCATATTGTATTGCAGGCTAACCATATATGCAATAGGTATCTTCGAAAAGGATCTCACGATCAAGGCATTGAGTCCCCAGGAAGTCATCGGGGCATGCACAAATGAGCTAGAACAACGCTGGTCCCGGATTGACGCCAGTATGCGCGAACGCATGATGCAAGATTATCAAATCGAAGACGCCGAACTAAATATATATTTCGAGGCGGCTAGAATCGAAAAATGGCATCAACAGGCGCTGGAGCTCGCAAAACAAGACTTTAGAAATGAAATCGGGGCGGAGACTAATGAGGGGTCGGTTATGGATAGAGAAGCAGCTAGGACGCTAGAGGATCTAGAGAGGAGTATTGCTGATAATGAGAAAGGCAAGGCGGAGGGCATGTTGATGTCGAAGCCAAGGCATAGGGTTAGACCAAAGTTTGATGGGAGAGTTAGTGCTAGTGGGAGTGTGAGTGTGAGGACAGGAAGTTTTAGAAGCTCGGTGAAGTTATATTGAGGAATGGGGATGGGGATGGGCCAGAAGTTTATGGTTTTGTAAGATTCGATTCACAGCAGATTCTGTTTTAGGGTAGTAAGTAGTACAGTACAGCCTTGTGAAACTGGTTTTTACTGGTGTGGTGTGGTGTGGAGTGGAGTTCTTGTGGTTTATCTTTCATTTTTTACAAGATTACTAAAATTGCGTTGGTGAATATGGGTGGGGTAGATGGGGTGGCTGGATGGGTTGAATGGGGTACATGGAAATTGAATGGAATAAAAGATTGAATAAATGGATCAATGGATCAATGGATCAATGGATAGCTAGCTAGCTACCTACCTTCCCACCCTCCCTACCCGATGTATTAAAGAATAGAATAAAAGAATGAAAGATTGAAAGAATAAGAAAATGAAAAATGTGTAAATTTTGTATACTGTATGTAATGTCTAATGAGTTTGTGATTGTGATTGTGATGGTGATGGTGATGGTGATGGGATGGTAATGATAGGTTTGTGAAATTGAAGATTTGTTTAAATGTTATTGAGAAGTGGATAGATAGATATCTACCTAGGTATGAGTATATTCTAGAAGAAAGAAAGAAAGAAAGAAAAGAGGCAAGAGAGAGAAATGTACTTGATGGATGATTAGTTGGTTTTTATTTATGAGGAGAGAAGGGGAGAGGAGAATATACTCAAGTAGTAGTTGAGTACTGCTATCAGAGTACTCTATACGGAGTATGTTTATTTCATCTCTTGAATAATGAAATCTAATTGATTAGAATGTATAGGAATTAGAAACTCTAGTTTTTGAATTAAAAAAAAAACTTGATTAGGATTTTAAATATTAGAAAAATAGATATCTAGAGTAAATAGTTAGAGATAAAAATAAAAATAAAAGTATACTAGTCACGGTATAATTATTCTATTTAGTTAGAGATATATATATATATATATATAATAATTATTTTGTATAATAAAAGATCAAGACACTACTAGTAGGAATAATCTTAAATCTTAGATTTAAGGAATTTCAGAAATATACTTATACTCGAAGTTGATTAATAGAATATTTTTAAATTTTTAAGCGATAGTACTCGTAACGATTTTTGATTATATAAAGAGATAGATAATAGAGTAAAATACTTGTAGAGTTGAGAGTTTATTAATAATACTACTCGTAGAATTTATTTACTTGTTTTTACTCGTACTCGAATAAAAAGAGTATTACTGTATTGGGTGAGTGATATATGAAATGCCAAGGGAAATTCAGGGGTAGGGGACGGGATGCTAATGGTGAAGTGGGATTTTAGTGGGAGGGCTAATGGGTAGCTAATGGGAAGTTAATAGGGATGGATGGATGATGGATTGGTTGATGGGGTTGGTTGATGGGGCTAATGGGAAGCTAATATGGTAGTGAAATGAGGGAAATGGATTGAGTGGGTTTGTGGAAGGTTTTTGGTGGAGAGGGGTGGGGAAGGAGTGGAGTGGGTGGGTTTTAGGGGTTGGAGGTTAGATATACTACTCGGGTAGATTGGGTAGGTTTTAGAGGTTGGAGGTTAGATATACTAGATTGGGTATATACTCGAGTATGTACCGTAGATCCGTAGATTTTGGAGTTGGAGTTGGAGCTTGGAGTTTGGAGTTTAAGTTTGCTTTTTAGGTTTAGGCTTTGAGTTTGGAGATAGGGAAGTACGGTACTCATGCCGCCAGAAAGTCTAATAAAATCAATATCAAATACTCTATATATAAAAGATTAGCCTCCGTTTTTTAACTTAAAAACCCCGTGGAATAGCAAAATCGTCAGTTTCTGATAACTTGAATATTTATGAATATTATTGGTTGAATAGCTTCCCTTCAAGTTTTTAGGGTTTAGATTATGGATTAGCCTTTGTTTTAGTATACGGGAGTGCCCGAGTTGCGGACTTTCTGGCGATATGAGTAGGGAAGGGGGGAAGGGAAGGGAAGAGGGAAAGAAGCTTGATAGGTAGGATCTTGGGTTTGTGAGGTAGGATGAGATGCGATGGGGTGGGATAGGATGTGATGGGATGGGATGGAAGTGATAAATACTCGAGTAAGCGTGATAGACAAGATATATACCTAGATAAATTCAGATCTAATTGTACTTAAGTACCTAGATATAGATATAGAAATAGATAGGGATAGGGATGGTTATGGTATGATATAGAGTTTTTGAACAAATATTATAAGTATACTGGTTTGATATATGGGAAAGTTAGTATTCAAGTTATAAAAACGATGAGGAGAATGCTAGAAGTTTAATAGGAAAAATCGGATCGGTAATTGTATATAGATATATATATATACTCGAGTATTTATATATATATTTGTATTGTTTTTATTTTGGTTTTATTTGTTATAGTTGTATTCTTGGTAAAGGGGTGCTGACATTCGGTGCTGGAAATAGGAAATAACCAGTGCGAGATATAGGGTAGGTACCTAATTAGTATATAGGTGGTAGTGGGTGTTCGATGGAGTTACGGAGTTTCGTACTGTAGGTAGTGAAGGATAAGACGCGAAAGATTCTGTAGCGATTTTTGGTATTTTGGTATTTTATTGGAGGTTTGAAGGTTGTGGGTTTATAGCGTAGGAATTGGAGTTGGAGTTGGAGTTGGAGTTGGAGTTGGAGTTGGAGTTGGAATCAGTCTTGTAGGTCTGGTTCTACTCGAGGACTAATGGAGAATCTGTTGTTCGAGGTGCTGGGTGTGAAGTGCCTATGGTGAGATATACGAGTAGTGAGATAGGGAGAGATAGGGATATGGTAATATTGAATGAATCCTTTCGGGGTGTAATGATTGAAGATGGAGTAAGTGAATGAAGGAGTATGGTATCTAGATGAGATGAATATGGGATTTTGATGTTCATATGTTAGATTGATGGGAAGAGTGAATGTATGAAAATGTCGGTACTCGAGTAGATGTAGATCATTTATTTTGGTTCTGGTTTTCATTAGTGAAACGGAAAATAAAACCCATTGATACGAGAAGTTGGTATCAAAATATAAAGAGCTGCTGGGGACATACACAAATACTCGTACATTCTCCAGCCTCACTATGCTTCAGAAATAACCTTATAGCTTTGCCCCCTTTTATCATGCGAAGGTCGGTCGATGAAGGCCACAACCTTTTTGACCTGCAGCCCATACCTTAGAATCAAATCATGTGCTATATCATGTTCGTCCATCAGGTCTGTTCTCATTATCCTGATGTTAGATCTACAGTAATTAATCAATTTTATTGTACATAACTTTAAGCAAGCTGACAAGCATTAGGCCTCAGTTATAAATTTAGTACTACTCCTTGCCGGTAGATATAAACCCTGTGCTCTAAATCAATAAGACCATGCCTATTTCATGTTTTTCCCCTACCAGTTTGTTAGTCAAGCCTTGTCTATTCATCTGCAATGCTTTGTGTTCTAATTTACTCGGACTTGAGCGTTGGATGAAAGAGTTATTGTAGATAGCTTCTTTCTTTCTGAACAAGTCTCCTTTTATTCCAAAAACCTCCTTTGATCGACAATGAAAGTAAGAGATCATGACATTAAAAAGGCTATATACCTAAGTATACACAACGTTATATGTAATATCGTAACAATTTTATACTCTTCGATACAACCGTCTAGTACCACCACGCCTACTATGACAATAATCTGCAGTTAAACCGGGCCGCATCACCAAAAGAAAAAGGCTGAATCAACATTACCTATAACCCTATAACTCGTACACAGGGCAAAGCTTACCTTTTTCGCTTCCTTTCCGATTTTCCGATTTCTTCTTCCCCTACCGTAACCCAATAAACCAAACCAACCTCACGCTTTGCCCTTTCCTTATCTTTCTTACCTTATTACTTTGGTCTTTACAACCAAACCTAAAAGGCTACGGCTTAACTACTATTCATGTGAGTTACTAAAAAGGTACCAAAATGTCCCTAAAATGTCCCTAATCTACCTATCCTAAGCCTAAGCCTAAGTTATTAACCAACAACCACCCGCTTCGCCGCCTTGCTCTAAACCTTCAATTCACAAACCCGACCCTTCTTTCCAATTATCCCATTCATTCACAACCCATCCCAATCCAACCCCATCCTAAAAATAATCAAAATACATATTTGGGGACAATATCATTGGGGATTGAACTCTGCACATTGAATGTCCCCTTTGTGGCAGCAATACATTCAACTTGGCTAATACATAACCCACCCCCAGTCGTCGCGTTCATTTCTTCCTCTCGGGCTTGTTATCGATCTGAACTCTCTTTCTTGTTCCTGGAACGGCAACCAAACGGCAACTATCAATTTAGGCTGTCAATCTAACTCTCCTTTCGACATCATACGCCCGTTCATATCCTTCAACTTCTTGAGCTCAATCGAGAGCTCCCAATACTGTTACGATGGCTTCATCATCGTCCAATGTCGTCGGCGTTCATTATCGCGTGGGAAAGAAAATCGGAGAGGGTTCTTTCGGTGTCATTTTTGAGGGAACAAACTTACTCAATAATCAACAAGTGGCTATCAAATTCGTACGTTCATCTATATCGATTTCACCATCCGATTCAATCTTTCATCTACCAAAGAGCTTTTGATCAAGATAAAAGGGGGAGTTCTAGTGGATATGTATACTGACAACATAATCACGAACAGGAGCCTCGAAAGAGTGACGCTCCACAATTGCGAGACGAATATCGAACCTACAAGATTCTTGTTGGCTGCCGTTAGTATATCTAGTCGTGATGTTTCGGGGGCTATATACTAATCGACTATAGCTGGTATTCCTAATGTCTATTACTTCGGTCAAGAAGGCCTTCACAACATTCTGGTTATCGATCTCCTTGGCCCATCGTTGGAAGATTTATTCGATCACTGTAATCGAAGATTCTCGACGAAGACTGTGGTGATGGTAGCAAAGCAAATGGTTTGTCTTTTCCGGATTACAAAGGTTGAGTGGTTTCGTACATGCTGACTTCCAAAATTAGCTCTCAAGGGTACAAACAATTCACGAGAAGAACCTGATCTATCGAGATATCAAACCTGACAACTTCTTGATTGGCCGACCGAATACGAAAGCCGCAAATGTCATCCATGTTGTCGATTTTGGAATGGCAAAACAATACCGGGATCCTAAGACGAAACAACACATTCCTTACCGCGAACGAAAGTCATTGTCTGGTACTGCAAGATATATGAGTATCAACACACATTTAGGGAGGGAACAGTCAAGACGAGACGATCTCGAAGCTTTAGGTCATGTTTTCATGTATTTCTTACGAGGTGGTTTACCTTGGCAAGGATTGAAGGCTGCTACCAACAAGCAAAAGTATGAGAAGATTGGTGAGAAGAAGCAGACAACCGCCATCAAGGACCTTTGTGATGGTTTCCCGGAGGAGTTCAACCAATACTTGAGCTACGTAAGGAATTTAGGTTTCGAGGATACACCAGACTACGATTACTTGAGGGATCTCTTCACTCAGGCATTGAAGAATTCTGGTGAAGTTGAAGACGGAGAGTATGATTGGATGAAGTTGAACAATGGCAAGGGGTGGGAAGCTATGAAGCAACATCCATCTCAACACATGCTACATCAACCAAATGCAGTACCAGGAGCATCGCAGAGGGAACTGCATGGAACAACTCGAGGAGGAAACACCACACCTGGTCACCTCACTACTGCCCGCTTAAACGCCGCACAACCCCCGCCACCATCACCGATAAAACCAGGGATGGGCAAGACACGCGATCGGCCAAACGCCCCAGGCGCGTTGGCCCCGAAACGAAGCAGTGGAGCGCCGGGGGGCCTACAGGACGTATCTACTCCAGCAGGTTCAACTCAAGCACAATTCCAGAACAGCTCGAACAACCTGCCACAGAGGATGAGTGCAGCACAGCAGTCACCAATGAACCAAAACGGGAGGGCATCAGAACAACCACCACCGACTGCGATGCAAAAGATCATGAAAGCACTGTGCTGTGGTCAGTAAGAATCAATCTTGTGTCACAAACCAGATGTTCTAATATTCTGATTAGGTTGAACACTTCTCTATAATTATCTTTCACTACAGAAAGTTTTTTGCCCCTCGACTCATTCACTTTCCATGCCGTCTTCATATTGAACGTCGGTTATAATGAACACCTCAATTTACAAATCGTTTCACATAAGATCATGTACCGGAGTTGCATCAGTTTGACAGCCAAGTCGTTTCTTTCGCTTCCTTCTTTAAAAAGCCTTGTCTTTACTCTTGTGGTCACATACATACACTCTTCCACGACATTGGAGCTCGGTTCGAAGCACGACACCATATCATAAACAAAATACCTTCGGTTGGCATTTGGGCCTTCTCCAGCGAAGCACCTTCAAGACTAATAATTGTTTTTTCCTACATTTTCCCTCTCTCTCGCCCGCCATCTCACTCTCCCATCGAAAAATCATCCTTGGCATCGCATTTTCCCCTTTTTCTCGGCGAATCAAATCATGGCTCTCCTACGTACAAAGAAGCGCTGGTCTCAATTCAATATCCCAAGGAAAATAAGTTTGCAAGGGAAGCAGGGGACTCTTTTTCACGATGTATAGCTTCTTTTTAACCGTTTTTTTTTCATCATACTTTTTGGAGCGAGCGGAGTGTTGCGTCTTTTTTTTTTCAGTGGCACTGCAGCAATGGCGAACTGGGAGTGTGGTGTGTCATTTCTGTTTGTTTGTGTGTGGGGTGTGATACATTAGATGCATGATGGGAGGGGATGGATGGATGGGCTATGAGAAGCTTTTTACTTCGCTACGGAGGAAGAAATGGATGGGGGAGATTCGCTTTTTGAGGTTTTTTTCAAAATGAATGATCAAAAGTAAAGGGGGTAGTTTCTTCTCGAGTGCAAAGCAAAAAAGGATCTTCGGCATCAGGAAAATCAATCAATCAAATCAAATCAATTAAATGAGGCAGGCTGGCAGGCAGGCAGGCAGGCAGTGTAATGGGAGTAGAAATGAAAAATGGAAACGGAAATTTGAAAAATTGTTTCAAGTGCTTTGCGTGTATGTGTGTGTATGTGTATGTGGATGGGTGTATGGATGTATGGGTGGGTGGATGAGTGTAAGAAGATGGGATTCGATCCATTGCACTTTGTGCATCTAATATTACAGTCCGCTTTCTTCAGAACCATGGCTCAAATGACTCTCACAATGTAGCAATGTAGCAATGTAGGCTCAATGTTTGCTGAAATACCTATTCTATTCCATTCCATTCATTGACTCAACCAATTGATGAATGAGAAGAAAGTAGAAGAAAGTGTGATTAAGAAAAATGGCATATAGTTCTTATATTGATTGCATTGTCTTGTCTCATCTCATCTTAAATTATTTTTTCTCTCTCGTTGTCTTTACTCCACAGTTCTAAGTTCTGAGTCCAGATTCGACTGGTAGGACCTGACTATTCAGATCATCCAGATCAGCCAGACCATCCAGACCAACCAGACCAAATAAGCAATGGGAGACATTCGGATCAAACAATGCCCTTCCCCCTTTCCCATTCCATTCTCCAAGACGAGGATGGTTAAGTCAATTTCTGCTTGATAAAAAAGGATCGCAGGTGAGAGAGTTGCCATGCACAAGTGATTCCCAGGACGACGAGTTGGATGAGGGTCCAGCGGACGACGCGGGCGTTGGTGGATTCGGATTGGTCGCGGAATTCGGCTTCGCGTTCCTAATTGGGGGGAGGGAGTGTGTTAGTTGGGGGGAGGAAGTATATTTGGAGATTTCATATAATATGATATGTAGCAAAAGGAAGAAACACACCCGTTGAAAAACCTGTTCCCTCCTAATATCCTGTAATCTCCCATTCAAATCCTTTACCTTCTGCACAATGTCGTTGATTTTCCCCTTGTCGTCGCTTTCGATCTGGCTCGTTTCTCCAATGGCTAAATCGAGCGTGAGTTTGATGCCGCCTTGGGGGTGCAGGGCGCTAAGCCAATTGCTAGAGCCGGAGGTAGAGCTGGGGGTGAAGCAGATTTTGTGGTCGCCAGAGTCGGCGGCTGTGAAGGTGAAGCGGCCGGATGAAGAGCCGGTTTGGAAGACGACGCGGTGGTCGTTGTCGAAGACTTCCTGGAGGGGGGAGAAGGGGGGGGGTTAGTGTGTTGTTTATATTCCAGGGATTGGAATCTGGTGGTTGAATGGAGGGAGGGGGGAGAGGGAAAGGCATTATAATATTATAATGTTTAACATACATCCACGGAAATATAAATATTCAGCCCATCGTGTTTACTCCATTCCCTTTTCCCTTCGTCATATTCCTCGGCTGTATAATGGCCTACAACTAAGGTATCTTTGGGTAATTCCTCGAAGAAACATTTTTCTGTTGTGCCGTCGATGTAGAAGTAGAGGGAGTGGATGGGGGTGAGGAGGGCGGAGAGGACGGCCCCAATGAGGGGGAGGGAGGTGCGCATTTTGAATTATGGGGGTTTGCTATGCGTAGGTGGTGAGGTTGGGGTGGTGGTGAGCTTGATGCTTGATAGAGCGACGTAGGGCTTGGATTTGGGTTTAAAGGATTGATTTGATAGAACACGTTCGCGACTTTTGATTGTCAGGGATGTGTTGATGCACGCACGTGCTGATAAGCTATCGGTTGATAGCGGCTCGATCTTGGGGTTTTTGGTCTTTCGCGATCCAAACATTTCGTTACAACATCCAGCCTTCTTTCTCTACAATCAATTCATCTTCCTTTCTTTTTCTTCGTCAACAGACACGTTATACTCGTGTCTTAATCTCTCATTTTATTTTACGATACAACAGAAATGAAAAGATAAACCTCTTGCGCGCAACTACATAATAATTCAAAATGACATCCAACGATGTCCGCGATATGCTGGATCTCCCCTCCAGTTCCACACCCCGACCCAAAAAAGTGAAGACGAATGTACAGAGACCGAAATTGGGGGGACTGGCCAGAGAGGTGCAGAATCTGGGAGGTGATAATCCGATTGCGATTGTACCGGAAGAAGCGGTTTTTAAGAAGAAAAGGTTTGGAAGTCGGAAACCGGCTACGAAGTGGGAGGGGAGGGCTTTTAAGAATAGTGCGAGGGGGGGAGATGGGCTGGTGCTGAGGCATTGGAGGAAGGCTGAGGGGAAGGAGAGGGAGAAGGAGAAGAAGAAAGATGGGGAGGGAGATACGGAGATGGGGGATAATGGGGAAGAGGGGAAGGAAAATGAAGAGGATACAATTGAGGATTCTACTTTCGCAAAGTATAATGTGAGGGTCCAGATACCGACTTATAACGACGAGGAATATAAGGAAATTCTGGATGACGCTGAATGGTCGAGACACGAAACGGATTATTTGATGGGAATGGTACAGGAATATGATTTAAGATGGCCAATTATATGGGATCGATACGAATATATGCCTCCTGACATTCCGGAAAACGCCCCAGAAAATGCGATTACTACAGCAGGGGATTCGCTCTTCCGACATACAAATCAAAGCAAGCCTTCGATACTGAGAAAGGTTAGGACTATGGAGGATTTGAAATCCAGATATTATTCAATAGGTGCGGCTATGATGGCGCTGAAGAATCCTCTCCATCAGATGAATGGTGCGGAATTCGATTTACATCAAAAGATGTTGAATTACCAACCTCGACAAGAGAAACATAGGAAAGATTTCCTCGAAGGAGTCTTCACGCGTACGAAGGAAGAAGCTCGAGAAGAAGAAAGTCTTATAGTGGAACTCAAACGTATCTTGGCCCGCTCTGAGAAATTCATGGAAGAACGAAAAGAGCTCTACGCAAGACTTGATACTCCTCAAAGTAGTTCTAATATCAGCCCTTACACCACTAGTCAAGGTTTGAACCAACTTTTACAACAACTCATGACCGCTGATAAAAGCAAGAAGAGAAAGACAATTCCGGAAGGTCAGACACCAGGTGGTACAACTCCTGCCGGTGCTAATACGCCAGGTGGATATAACGATCGAAGGGATTCCAATGTTCGAGAATCGATTGCCGGTCCATCGGGTACCGCTGGCAATTCATCAGCCGTGGGTCATAAAAAAGGAAGTCTATCAAACTCCACTCAAAATCCCTCGGATCGTCGCAGACTTAGTGAAGAAGAAGAAAAGGTCTATGGTGTTACACATCATGACCGTCTACAAGGAGGGCCACATTTCCGTGGTGAGAAATTGGTCAGGCCTCTCACCACAAAGAGTACTATTCAACAAGGACGCATAAAAAATACATTGGCCGAATTGGGTATTGGTGAGAAAGCTACGATGGCTACGACGGATGTGGCGAATGGATATGACGAATTACTCAAGAGTATTGGAATTCTATTGGATAGTAGGAAGGTGGTCGATAAGTTGGCTGGGGAAATCGCGATTGTGACGGAACAGTTGGAGGAGAAGAAGAGGAGGAAGGCGAGGAGTATGGGAGGGATGGATGGTGCTGGGGATGAGAGGGAAGGTGGGGGGGAGAAGGAAGATGGAAATGAAAATGATAATGAGGAGATAGAAAAAGAACGTGAGGGAGAAAGCGAAGTGATTACGGTCAGAATGTCGAATACAGAGCGGGGAGATGAAATGAGTGAAGATTTGGATGGAAAGGAGAAAGAGGGTGGAGATGGAGATGCGGAGGGTAATGATGGCGGTGATGATGATGGCAAGGCTGCGCTTGCTCAAAAAAGGAGTGCAAGTGTGTTGAGTATGGATAGTAATAAGAGTTTGAAGAGGCAGAAGAAATAGGATGGGATGGGATGGGATGGTTGATGGGATTCGTGGGACGGGTGTAGTGGGAAGATGGAAGCATGGAAATGGAAATGAAAGGGAACGGGAAAGGAGAGCAAGGGAATTTAAAGCATAGCTAGGCTAGGTATTTACCCATTTGTATAGTTTAGTGTGACACTACTTACTAAAACCATGATTACTCGAGTATATAACTCAACAACATTGTCGTATCCTTCTTTCGAGTTAGTGTGAGGTTTGAGGTTGGAGGTTAGAAGTGTGTGTGATATAATGATTCCTTATTCCTTTCCTCTTCTCCCTTTACCCTTCAAAAAGGGGGGCGAGGGGGGGGGGAAGGGGGGGCGTTTAACGCAAGCCCCGACTTTGTTCCAAATCATATCTCTCAATGTATTTCTCCTACAATATCATCTAACATGATATAACCGGATAATCTATTGTGCAGATGGTAATGTAATGGATATAATGGGAAATAGGAATACTGTACGACGGATTTGTTGCCGCGCAGATTTGATGATGTATACATACTGGTATATGTAGCTTTGGGTTTGGGTTGGATTTGCAGGGTTGGGATTTTCGGTATGATATTATTTGATGATCTGTGATGTAGGTAGGTGATGTGAAAGAGAGAAAGGGGGAAAGGGGGAAAGAGGGAAAGATAGGATACGCACGCAGGGTGGCTTTCGAATTCTATGAGGGGGGGGGTTCCTGACTAGCTAAGGGGATTCTGATCTGATTTGGAAAATTGGATGATTGGATAATGAGGAGGTTGGAGAAGGAGAAGACATAGTATGTCCTTGATGTTCTGATATTAGAGTATGAGATTAGTACTGCTTCAGTACTGCTTACTACAAAGCTTCACGAGGACTTTCATTGTGGTAATCTACTCGAGCATTTGTCTTTGAGTGGCAAGAAACCTAGTATCTACTCCACGGAATGTTGAATTTATAATTTGATACTCCTACAAGTATACTCGAGTAGATTATATTGAGAAATGGATTATCATCGTAGGTCAAGACCAAGCTCTGACTTCCTGTGGAGGGTGATTGGTGGGGAATGGTTAGTGGAAGGGTAGAGGAAGACTAGGAAGCTTATGGTTTGCATGAATGTCGGCATTGTCAATAAGTACACACCTCAGACATACTTTTTGGACTCAGAAATACTTCGTTGAAGTGCATACCTACCTGACCCGTCACGTACGGTTTTCCGAATAGAATCACATCGACTACGGATGAGTGATTCCATTTTCGGTCGAGTGACAACGAACTAGTATGGCTCTACGAAGAGGGGATGTATCAGCATGTCGTTCTCCGCACATCTCCTTCATTTCTCTTTAATTGAATTCGACACCATTTGACTCGAGTGAAAATATCTTGCGATCTCATCTCTCTCACTTATATCATTTTTACATTTCCCAAATACTCAGTATGCCACGCCCAAAGCCAACGATAGTAAGCAACCCAGTGGAGTGTTGCCGCATGTTCGCGCCATCAAGGAGGCCGGTCCTGAGATATTCCGCAAAGTCATGAACCAACTATGCTTGGAGTGTCCTGAGGCGAGGAAGATAATATTCCGAGTTATTGTCCGTGATTACTATTTTCTTTATGAGTATCTATCACCCACGATGCTCACTCAGCTCTTCGATAAGAGCAAGGGAACAGTGACGAATAATGGTGAATTCGAAACTTGCCTCGTCAAGCAGAAGCCTGTTGAGAAGAAGCCTACAGAGAAGAAGCCTGACGCGAAGAAGCCTGTTGAGAGGAACCTAGTCAAAGAACAACCTATTCAATAGGCACACGTCAATGAATAATCCGGTGTGAAGAAGTCCAAGGATTCTGTCATGGTGAATGCTATCAAAAAAACACCCCGTCGAAAAAAGACATCAAAGCACCACCTACAAAGAATTGTAAACGCAGGGAAAGGTATGTCCAAAGTGTGGCGAAGAGGCATAAGGCCTTAACACTGAGTGTTGCTCGGATCAGTCAGTACCTCCTCTTTTTCCTTAACGAATAAGTTTTCTTAAACCATTGGTAATCTTCTGCCAAATGAATAGAGAGGAAGTCCCATCATCATCAGATCCTTCCGAAGACGAGTCCAGCTCCGATGACTTTGATATCAGCTCTCAAACCGAGTTCGACAATACAAACCGTCAACGGTGCTTGGAGGAAAGATATCCCGGGTACGCTGGATTGATGCTGTATTACACCTCTCAAGCTAGGGGTTATAATTACGGCGATTGGATTCTGAGTATAAATGAAGATGCTGGCATGCTACAGATGCCTCAGATCTTAGTTATCGGAACCTGACACATGTCTCTTGAGTCTCTCTTTATTCGTTTCACGAAGCATTCAATGCAGTTAGCTCAATTTTCTCTGATGTATGACCGTATGTGCTGGGAAGTGATTTGATGCAAGTTACGCTGCAATATGTCTTGATATGCGACATTCATCCTCGGCAGCATTTTGAATGTCGGGTCAGTACTCGATGACCACTGTACTGTTTTTTAGAAAAAAGAGCATGATGAATTGTGAGTATGATGTACCCTTTGCTTGAAAGCGAATATATATGATCTTGATAAATACATTCGTGCTTTAGTGGCTGAATCAATCTTGATTCTTGAATTTGGAAATAGTTGTATCTTGACGTGAAAGTATGTCTTCACGACTGGGTTGAAGGATTGAAGAAAGTACGAGTTAGTATCTCGATGCTGCATGGAATATGAAAAGCTATCGAAAACAACAACTTGGAGAGCGGAGGCAACCCACGATTCACAGGAAATAGTTTGTATCCCCAAATCTTGTATGTTCCAATATCTATCCAAAAGATGACTCGTACCATGTTCCACTACCGCCCGCTTCATATTTGGCTCTAATACGTCAAGGAATTTAATGTTCTTTCTTTCACCTGTTATCTTTATCATTCAGCTTCAATCACTTTCATCATGATGATGTGCAAAGAATATCCAAAAAAAACGGCCCAGAAATGAGAAACAGATATCTGAGCCAGGGGCTCGCAAGTCTCCAATTTTGACATAGCCATTCAAGCCATAAGATTCTCTCTACAATACCAGCAGAAGAAGTAACAATTCGAACTTCATGACATCATGTTCATATTTTGTAAGCTTGAGTCAGGAAATTTATATAACTCCATCCATAACCCTTTTCCCTCTGGTAGTGATACTTCAAACGATTAATCTTCCTCTGATCTCGATTTCAAGTACAGCCATATGAATAACTCCATATCATCCCACCAATGGAAAAGACCACTTCTAATGATCGAACAAGTCTACTCAGTTTTGAAATGCTAGTGGTTAAAGATGAAAGGAAGAAGTTGGTGGGAAAGAAACTCGTATAGTAATAAATAAATAGACCAGAATGTGATCGTGGATGAGCCCATCAAGAAGAGACCCGTTAGGAATAGTCCTACCGAAAGAAAGGGGTCAGGAACACGTTTGTCATGGGTCAATATGGACTAATATTGATCCGTTGTTTGTTTCCCTTATAGTGATAATGGAATATATCTCAATTCCCATCTTTATGTAGCGCACTATACTCTCGACATCCAAGAATGCCCGATACATCAAAGACTTCAATGATTATTGACCAGTATCAAGTGTCCAATGGAGAGACCGTCTAAACTTTTGGAAAACCCTCCCACTTAAGGACATTGCGAATGTTCTTCATCAATCGACTGGCATGGTATACACTTTCGGCCTCTTCTTCCTACCCGTCGTCGCGTGTATAAATACAATTCCTCCCCTTAACCTATGCACATCTATACTTTTTTGAAGCAACCTTACTCGAGTACATGTCGCATATCCTTCAAATGCTCCTTCAAAACAACTACATTTGCTATGTGACTGAGGCGTGGTAATCGGCATCCTCTAGTTCTGTTCAGTCACAAATTAGATGAGTCTGCAGAGATGAAAACAATGCCTTGCAACTTCACATACCTATCAAGAAAACCATCTGTCGTTCACTCGGCCTTCGGTTCGCGAACGAATTAGATTGGCGAATCTATATTTAAGGAGATTAAAGGTTGTGCTGTATATTACATAAGCTTACACAAGGGCTGTAACTGGACTTTTCGTACGAAATTTGACATAACCACAACCGCAGGCATATTTGTACGTACAAATGCTCATCATGATTGCGGATATTCCACTGGATGCCGGTTCATTTGCTGCGGTGAGGACCTAGAGCGGCTTGCTTCTTATACTTGAGACACAATACCCAATAGATGATAGTGAGTATGGATCACAATTAGATGGCCCCTGGTACAACACACTTCTATGCCAGTAGGAGTGTAGCACATCTTGCAGGGACATCATCTTCAAGCCAAGAATTGTTGATATCAAAAGGCATTTCAATTTTCAACCACCACTAGGTAAGATAAAGGCAGGGGCCCCCACTTCAAGGTTTTATTTAACGAATCAATCCCTCGGTAATTTTTCTTTAATTCGAAATTTTTCTTTTTGGAAACGGCTGTACCGGTACTCTTGATCTAGATGTCGCGAGAGCTCTTTTGGAACTTTCGTGTCTGGCAGCGCGAGCTAGCTTCACTCGCTGCAGGCACATTATGCTTTATTGCTCTCGCTGCGCTTCTTTCTGCTTTTAACGGGAAGTCTATCTTTCGTTGGTATGGTATCACACTCAACGCATTGGTATCCATTCTTGCAACCGCTGCTAAAGTTCTTGTTTTGTATTCCATCGCTGAATCTACCAGCCAATGGAAGTGGCTTCATTTCTCGGAGCAAAAGCGCTTTCTGATAGATTTTGATAAAATTGATGCGGCAAGTCGTGGACCATGGGGTAGTTTTATACTTTTATGGAGGAAAAATCGGGAGTGAGAATTTCCTCATACTTGATCAAGAAACTATACTCACAAGTATAGGCTTATAGTACGCATTGGTGCTGTGACTACCGTACTTGCTTTGGCCGTTGACCCTTTCACACAACAACTTATTCAATACCAGCAGCGTCTCGTTCCTCATAGCGATGGAGAGGCCAGTGTTCCTAGAGCAGATCGTTATTCGAGGGGTCGACTTTTCAATACGCAACTCACAATGGTGTCAAGTAGATCAGTCCTCTCGAAACTCAAAGCATGAACCCCATTCAGCTGACCCAAGGCAGATAATCCACCCGCAGCGCAGACATTTGCAGATGCGGATTTTGCAATGCAGTCGGCTGTTCTATACGGTCTTACGCATTCCATCGAGATGACGACTCAGCAACTTCCTCACACGTGCACGTCTGGAAATTGTACGTGGAATGCATTTGAATCTCTTTCGGTTTGCAATGTCTGCAATGACCTTAGTGATAGAGTGGTTGAATATAGAGACTACAATGTTCTCTATTCTGACCTTCAAACCGACAACGGGATCGGTATCAAAGAAATGGGTACTGCATTTCGACTTCCAAATGGCCTTTTCATCGATGGTTTTGATGGCTGGAATTACACTGACAAATACACATCTCTGAAACTTCCTGGTGGTGTATTCATGACGACCTATGGAACTGGAAATGCTAGCGAGACGGTATCGCTTCAAGATATCGATACTTTGATCTGGGCAATGACCTTTCTCAAAGTACACCCTCCACAAAACGCATCAGTAGTCTGGCCTAATTTACCACTCGAGGCAAGAGAATGCGGCTTATACTATTGTGTGAATCGACACGAATCGAACTTTGTGAATGGCACTCTATCCGAAGAAATTTCCGAAGTCACGAGTGCAAAGCGAGATCCGGATTCATGGCAGGTCACAAGCTCAAAGTGGGCTGCCATTCTCAACTCATCGATCGTGTCGAGTCTCGAGTTTAATGACAAACTATCCGCCGCACCGCGATCCGACCTGTCTCTTGGCGAACAATACAATATCTCACAAGCAGCTGTCAACAGTATTAGTAGCTACGTCGAAGATTTATTTTCTACCAGCATCAACATAACCCACAATGTGACGGCAACTCAGCAGGCAAGGTTAAATGGTTACATCATGTCCGATGGCAATCTCCAATATAAACCCAGCTCCATGCAAGCCTTCAACACGAGCTCTGATCTTCCGGCTACATTTTCATCACTTGCCAAAAGCATGAGTAACTCCATCCGTGCCAATGACGATGGCGCAAAAATTGAAACGGGCACAAATCACGAGATGGTCAGTTTCTACAAAATCGAATGGGAATGGATATCTCTACACAGTTTCTTCATCATTGCAGCCACCATCTTCACCGGCCTCACCATTTATCAGACGAGACTGCGTGGTACGCCGGCTTGGAAGTCTAGCTCGCTGGCGGTTCTTTCCAGGGGGCTGGTGGTGGGCAATACTTTTAAGGGTGCGGAGACAATGAACGAATTGACGGAAAGAGCAAAGAGTGAGAGGGCTTGTTTATATGGTACGTATAGCGAGCTAAAGGAACGTCGCGAAGATGTCGAGTTGGAGGAAATAGAGGTGGGACAGTCGGATGATCCACAAATGTTCAATGGGGTTCGATCAGTGCGGTGATGTTGAGCAGTAGAGAATCTTGAGATGATGTATTGATGAAAAATATCATGATACCCAATCGTGAAGACGAACTGTTCACAAAGAATGGGGGATATGGCTCAGTGGTCAGAACACGCACCGAAATATTCCCGTGTTCATCTTGATCATTCTTACCAAAAGAGGGGAATGTTCGAACTTACAAGTCTCCTTTATACAATTATTTGGTGATGGGACGCAACTACTTGAGTACTAAATTAATGCTCATATTGTTTGAACTTTGGAATGGAGTATATTGTTTACCTAGTACCGCCATTCTTATGCACTTTTCTGTACTCGTATTTCAAACTGTTTCTCCTGCACTAGCCTAGCCTAGCCTAGCCATGCATTTTCAATTTCCCACGAAAATGATTCACTCATTAAAAGTAACGAGTAAGGAAGGGTGCGATAATAGGCAAAGCTACGTGTTGACTGTCAGTTACATATACCGGCTACCCATTTCCTCATACACATCCCTTTGTGTCCAACTATATCTATAATCTCTTACTCGAGTACATTGACTTACGCACCTCTCCACGAAAAGATCATTCCTTGAGAATGACGAAGCGTTTTTGAATATCTGAGATGATAGTTAGCTAGCTAGAGCCTAGTCCTCCATTTACCATCACCATACATTTTCTCTTATCGAACCCTCTTAACTGCAACTTCAACTCACATCAATCAATAACTCAATCAATCAATCACTCAATCCAAGACTCTCTTCCAGCAACAGCAACGCCAAATCTCCTCCCAATTCGATTCCTCCTTTACAATCACAGAAGACGTAGTCACGGTTCGCAATCTTGATTTGAAAATGAAAAATTGCCGAGTATTTTTTGATACTTATGTTGATATAGTCTCTATGGTATGGGAGAGTATTTGGCACCGATACTGATGCCGATGCTGTGATAAATCCGATCTTCATGGAATGTTCACGCAATGTATGGATTTGGAAAGCTGGAGGAGACTGTAGGAAACTGGGGGAAAGGCTGGGGAGCAGTGTATGAATACGTGTATGTGTATGTGTATATTGTTTATAAGTGTGTCTGTGTCCTAGAACCTGGAACTTTCGTATGGGACATTATGGAAGAAGAATTAGGATTCGCGCATCGCTGGTCTTGATTTGAAGGCGAGCGATACTCTCGATGGCTCTCCGTTCTCGGTAGATACGGTGCTGTTGTTTCTTGGTCGTGTGGTTCTCAGAAAGAAGTTGTGGTTGAGGTATTGACTGGTTCACTTGCTGCGGTCTTTCTTTTTCTTTTTTCTTTTTTGAGACGGAGACGAACACGAACACGAAGAAGGAGGAGGAGGAGGAGGATACGTAGAGAATCGTACCGGCGACGTATATTTTGACGCAGCAGGGTTACTCGTATTGTACTAAGGAGGCATCAGTATCCCATGCTTGAGAAGTTGAAGAACATGAGGAAAATGAGAATGTTAGTAAAATGGGTATTTTCCTCCATTTCATAGTACTTTCATCTCGAAGCGTAATGAGTCAGTACAGGCTATTGTAGTGACTGCAGAAGATGATGGGCATTTGAATGGTGCGAAATGATCTATCGTGAGTATGCGAGCCGTGAATATGATTCCTCACATCGCCATGTATTTCGGCTTTTGTATCTTTTTGATTTGCTGGTCCATAAAAACTACCTTTTTTGCCTCGAAGTGTGGAAGTTCTGTAATTGGTAGAATCTCCTGTTTCATTTCCCTTTTCATTCTTCCTTTCCGTTCTTTCCTTCCTGTAAAACTTGCACACTCCATCCATGGTCCCACACATATCACATTGTTCCTGCTTCCGATACAACCCAGAATCCACATCCACTCACCCAACAGATCAACTCTTCAACCATCCTAGATCCATCCTACAAACCCCAAATTAGAATACACAGTCCTCATCAAACAAATCAGATCAATCAGGAAATGTAGTTCAGTGGTAGAATATACACCTCTCAGTGTGAACAGCATTACCGGTTAAGCTATTTAAGCCTAGAAAGGTCTCTATAGCTCGGTTGGTTCTACCGTGAGTGTGTCAGACGGAAGTTCGATTCTTTCCATTTCTGAATCTTTTATCTTTTGTCTGGAGTTATCTTTTGTTTTCGTTGTATAAACGGGTGGTTCAAATCTAAATCCCCTTCGCATTCTATGTCGTGATCGTGACTTCCATTTCTGTTTTGGATTTTGCACTTTAACATAACCTTACTGCAACTGAATGAATTTGGCCAACGCCGCAACAAATGAGTCGGTGATGTAGTTGTGTAGGTAAACATATATCTCAGTCTGGAACGGGCGTCAAAAGCAAGTCAATAAAACAAGAAGCTATGCCAATGATCGTCCTCAGATATATTCTACCATCGCCATAGTAGCAAGACTATCTACTATTTACTTACCTAGGTAGGTAACTTACATCCAAAATCCGAAGACCAATCATCAAGTTATCTCGGCATTTCCTCGCATCGCATCGCCATGCCCCACCACATTCACCCACTCACATCATCTCACCTCACCGTCCTCGCTTAACACATCCCCATCAAAAGCATCATGCCATCAAATCAACGCGACAAAACCCTAAGCCATCTCAAAAACATACATAGAACAGTGAATCGCACCCCAAATAAATCCAAAAAAAAAAAAAAGGAGGGTTCATCTGTAAATCCAAGACCTGGCGAAGAACAGGTATAAATCAAGAGGCCAGAACTCAATCAGGCTGGGCAGAAGGCTTGACCATATGCACCACGAAAGGCCACAACATGATTTGGTTGGGGACTGCGGAGGAATTGGGGTTTATGTATGAGGAGATGTCTGGGTCTGGGTATATAATATATATATGTGATCTTACCTTACCATCTGCTCAGTTCTATGATGGCTTTGACTTCTTGATATTTTTTACTTCGTCGCTGATTCTTATATACTGTATATAACATCCGATGGGTGTGTATAGTATAGTACAGAGCTGCGCACGATTGATGTTTCCTTTCGATCATATTTGCGATATACCTTTGGTTTATGATGATACAAGTTGTAAGTCTCCAATGCGACAAACCCAGACCAGACCATCCTACTCAACTTCCTCTGTTGTGTCGCAACCAATTTCCCGACAGACTTCCATCCATCTCACCCAAAGCTCTCTTTCTTCTCTTCTTACCTTACTTTGAGAGTGAATTTTTCAAGTTCTTGAGATCTTGCGCTACAAATATTTCTCAATCTTTCCATCCCCTTACGGCGCAAGTTCTTTGCGCGTCATGGTGTACTCAGGAATATCCAACGCTTTGATTTCTCAATTCTCTCTATTCAAGCTTTTTTATTCAATTGTTCAGGTTTTAGTTGCAGATAGGACAGTAATACTTAACTTAAGCCACGTTGGTGAATATACTATGCTATCGAGTTGTGGATGAGTGGTGTGCTGTTTTGATTCAGATTCGGATTCACTTCCACTTCCACTTCCACTTTCACTGCACTGAAGCCAAAATCTTTTGATCATCGTAAGATAAGATGAAATGAGAAGTAAACACAACTAAAGACTGGGTTCGCATTGGTATAATATACACACAAAGAAACCAAAAAGCGATTTACAGCTCTCACCACCAATATCATTTTAGTACTTTGCCGATCGATAGATGGCTCATGGAACATACACAGATGAATAAATCACTATTCTCCATGAATCTTCCCTACCTATGTAGATACTCCCAAGCCAAGCAAAAATAAACAACAAAGTAAATAAGCCGCAAAACACCAAACAATCCTGAAGGCTGGAGCCGAATAGAATCGAACCATTGATCAATGATCTCACAATATTTATGCTATATACGTCGTTAGAAGCGTCCGGGGCAGCGAATCCCTCTACACATATGCTACTTACTTGTATGCTCCGCCATTACGCTTAAGCCACAGGCCCACAGCAGCCTCGCTTCTTTCGTAGTTGATTTGAATCATTTCATGAAGATATGGTATAATAATTTGTGTATGGAGATGTGCTGATGCACTGATGGGTTCCTTGAGGAAAGTGTAAGTACTGGTATTTAATCTTCCCAACTGAACACAATATAATACAACACAAGACAATTGCACAATTAAAAAAGAGTTCCTTCCTCATTGAGAAACAGATACTATAAACATTAATATACTAGGTATGTAAACGAGCATGAGGCATCTCCATAATCGTCATCGAGACGAGACGAGCTTCAGGACTTTGTATATACCTAGGTAGTAACCATAAGATTAATCATTAGGTCTCTACCATTAGCCACTAATAGCCAAAAATGAACAAAAGATCAGTGGAAGAATAACCAAATATGGGAAAAGATGGTAAAAGGATCGCCAAAAATAAGCAAGAATATATAGAGCCGCATGGAATCAAACCACGGTTTTATTACTCAAGTACAGAATCAGCATGAATCGATGATATACCCGGCCGGGAGCAATATCCTCGATATCTATATGTGAAATTGGATTGCTTTGCCACTAGCTACAGGCCCTTTTAATTTGTTTTGTTTTGATTTGTTTAGTTAGAGGGTGTGTATTGTATTGTAGTATATTGTGTATAATGGTATAATGTGATGTAATGATATGATGTAATGAATGAGATTGTTTTGAAAGGTGATATAGTTTGTTTAGTTTGATAATCCAATATCGAAATCTCTTTTAATAATATAGTTTCATTTATAATATATATCTCAATTTATGTTTTATTCAAAATGATATAACG